GCACCATGTGAGCTTTCCTCACAACAGGAAGCAATGATCCTGTTAGTATTCCTGTTATCTCTGAAAGAGCTAACAAAGTATTAACAATTTAAAATTTGCATTTTGATCATGGCTAACGTCAGTGGCTTTGTTGAGAAAGAACTGTAGCCATCAGTGTTTTGTCCCCTGACACTAAAACCCACAACAGGTGCAGCATTTTTTATAGTATATTAGACAGTATTTATCAGCCACATCTCTGAACACAAAGCTGTATGACCCAAACGTGACTATTTGAGAGTGAAATCATGCCTGGTTCAACCCAACTCAAGTCAGTCTGGTCCAACAAACCAGTGGAAAGTTTAACTTCACATGTCCAGGGCCGCAGCCAGAAATGCAGAAATACTGAGGTTGTGACTAAAAAGTTACATTTTCATTTGACTGAATCAGTTCAGCATTTGCTCCACCTGATAATCAGTCTGAATTGCCAGTTGATTTTTATCTCATTATTCAGTCTGACGTTGAGTTTATGTTCTCTTGGATTTTGTTTTGGACAGGTGGGTTGTTTTATTTTTGCTTGCCAAGCCAATCAGTAGCAAATGACATATGCAGTAGTGGCTGCAACAGTAAAGGTGAAAGGTTTCTCCAGGCTGCACTTTAGCAAACAGTATCTCCGTATGAACAACTTGAATGACATCTTCAGAGAAGCACAATCCCATCTTCATCAATGTTAAACAGCCTGTACAGCTGATTGATCTCATCCTATATTTTCTTTGACATTAGCATTGTAATGGTTACCACGTTATCATTCTGATGTTAGCATTTAGCTCAAAGCACTGGTGTGGCTTTCTATAGCTTCACAGAGCCGCTAGTATGACACAACCTCAGTGTCTTCAATATGGCCCTGCATGGGCCCTCGAGAGAAGCAAATCAGGAGAATGAGAGTGTGACTGTCAAACTCATGTATTCTGAAGAGATGGAGGTAGAGGAGGTAGAAAACACCCACATGTTCTGGCTTAAACCTTCTTCGGGGCGTTCAGTTTGGTCCCACTTGTATCCATTCTATCTCAAATATTAAGCTCCAGTGATTAGATAGCAGATACATACCCTCAGAGTGTCATTAATTAAAGATACAGGCAGTTCATGATATGGATTCTTACCCCTCTAATTTGCTCATTAAACAGCATCTACCTCCTCAGTCTTATGTGGGTCATGTCCAAGGGGACTGAGCTAAGAATACATGGAGAATAGAAACAATTTCTTTTACACCCAATAGCATGCTGACTGTAACACGCTTTCAACAGCTGGTCAGTCCTTCACTCCACAGCACACCGATGCCCCTCTCTCTCTCTCAGGCACATTCCCACAAGAACCGAAACGTGACAGAATGGTCTACGGGGGCAACGAGGCCGGGGGGAGCCAAGCAACAGGTGGGAGGCGTCTTCTCTGGACTCTCAACCCTGATCCTTTTTAGCCTCATGAAATCACACACTGATCTCACCGGGACTAATTCAATTTCAGGTCCTATCTGGGTTTGTGTGTCTGCATGGAACAAGCTGCAGACCTCACTGCAGTCAGTCGACTCTGATGAGATCTGCAGGCACAATCCCATTAGAAATAAGAGATCTTTGTCTGGAGCTGTGCGGTGGCCCCAATCCAAGCCTGCCTCAGTGTGTGTGTGTGTGTGTGTGTGTGTGTGTGTGAGTGTGTGTGTGTGGGAAGCCAGCCCTGTTCCTGTGCACAGAGAGTGTGACCTATTCACTTGGTATTAGTGAACATTACTCAGGGTGATGATTCAACATTCCTGTCTGATTTTTGGCTGGCATAGCACTTGGACCAGTCACTTCAGGCAACATCAACACAACGGCAGCTATTTAACACACTGGCTGAGCTGTCACACCATAATGCTTTCACATTATGTCTCTCTCACACACACACATATATACACACACAGCTTATGCCTCAGACTGATGGAGCAGTAAATAAATTAGACAGGGTCAGAAAAGCGTTAAGTTGTGTTTTTTCTTCTCTCACTTTACATTAATATGACACCTTTAATAGAACATTGACACTGATTTTCATCCTGGAAAGTATTTCTGACACGTGACAAGGTGCTACATGCTGCCAAAATAAAATTGCACACACACAAGCTTTCACTGTAACTTGTGTTTTCTGCCTTAGATGTTCAGTGTGTGTGTGTGTGTGTGTGAACTCTACTTCTGACAACCAAATATGGAGAAGAATTTCCTCCTCTCTAATGTTCTGCTCCACATCTGAAAATGAAAACTGTGTCACTGGAGCAAACTTGTGTTCACATCTCAACATAACCTCCTTATCTATGAGATTAAAGTTTAAGGCATTACTCACAGGGTAGGCGTTTGTTGTGCAGGTTGGATGATGAGGAGCTCATGTTGCTGGAGGATCGTGGGAATATAATAAATCAGTGTGTGATGGTCGGTCAGCCCTGTGAGAGTTCAGCAGAGAGGCTGCCGTTCATCTCCCACCCCCCTTTCTTCTCACTGGACACTGCTCCAAAGTGACTGATGCCGACTGCTGCCCTGCTGCTGCTCTCCTTCCCCGCTGCCCTCTCTCCCCTCGGTGGACTCTGAGCCACTTGGATGAGGCGAGAACAAGTTTGTGGCTTTGTGGAGCCGACCAGCTGACCAATGACAGGGAGGAGGGAGGAGCTGCGGGAGAGAGCGAGGAAGGGATTGAGAATAGGGAAGGACGGATTTTATGTAACAGAGTGGAAAATACCAAGGAGAGACAGACTCATGCCTTTGTTATTTTTGTCTTCTTACACCCCCTCTTTCCCCTCACCTCCTCCCTTTCTGTTTCTTGTTCCCTCTCTCCCTTTTTTTAAACCATCTCTCTAACCTTCAGGGTCAATGTTGTCAAAAAATGTTACATTTCAGAGACACAATATCTGTTTTATAATTGTATTGTCATTATTATGTCTGATGTTTAATAATGTTTAATAATTATTATTATTATCATTATAATAACACTGATTTTTCTGAACAATTTAAAAGCTTTTTCAGGTCTCCTCTCCACAAAGAACATTTTGTTCCCCACACAACAATTTTATATTTTGAATCCATAGACCTAAATAATATCAATCTACTTTATAACATTCTCATAATATCTAAACACAATGTTCAACTAGCTGCTAAAAAAATACATTTCCTTGCCTTTAGTTTTGGTGAAAAGACAGAACTCTGATCAAAACTTAAATAATCTTTTTTAAAAGTATTGATTAAAACTGTTGCACACTTTGGTTAAAAAAAAAAATATATATATATATATATATGTATAAATCATATTTCTTTGAATGGTGAGTGGAGTACTTACACTGTTTGGGAACCTGGAGTATCTGAGAATCTGCGTATCCTGGACACCATCTAGTGGAGAACAGACATCAGTTCCACTTCCTCTAAGCTGGACTTGCTGGTTACACAATATTTGCATGCAGCGGCTTCACAAAACAGCATTACATCATTGACTCTTTCCAAAACACTGCATCTGCATTTGAGAGAGGCTTTTAAACAGCGGCTTGCTTCAGTTGCAGGGAAGAAATTTATGAGTGTGCACAAACTAAACTAACTTTTTGATTATGCACAATAACCTTGATCATATTATATTCCTTTAGAATATGATATGAATTATCTTCATTTCAATAGAGCACTTTTTGCAAACCGTGGTACAAAGTTCTTCACATACAATAAATTGACAACAAACATTTATGTTGTTATGTCTGCAAATGCATAGAATAAGCACGGAAACTTTTGCAACTGAAAGTCACAGTTGGCATCTGTGCCAAACTACAAAGTGAAACTGCAAAAACAGGCTGTAATGTAGCAGTTGGGAAGTGGTAGGAGTGATTGGCGATTTGTATCAATAAAAACACACTCTTTGTAAATGTCAGTGGTTGTGGTGGTTTAGATGAAATGTGCTAGTCGTGGCAAACACTCACCGTACCATGAACTTTCTCCAGCATGTGTGTGTGCGTGTGTGTTCAGAAAGTGCAAAAAAAATGACAGAGAGAAAACAGAGAGGGAGAGAGAGAGTGTGTGGGCAGAGGAAGTATGAAGTGACTCAAAGTGAGAAATCCTCTTCACCTCAAACTAAATTATGTGTGGGCTTTCTCATGACTGGGGGTTCACCTGATGAAGCCCTGCAAAAATCAATAGCTGGGACACGGGCTGCTGTGCAAAAGCTAAGTCATCTTTCTTGCATTTTAAATTGAAATGAAAGAGATAGGCAAGCAAGCAAAAAGAAAAAAGGAAAAGTGAGGAAAACATATAGAGAGCAAAGCAGGCAGTGGGGCATGGGTGACGGAAACTGTTTATGATGTCTGCACAACTATTAAAGGCTTCCTTTTTCTGCAGAGGATTGACTTTAGTCCTTAATGTTGACCTTTGAGCTCTTTGGTCCAAAGCAATTACTAGCCATTTCAAAGCAATCATTCTGTTTGGTGTCTCGCTGAGTCGGGATGAAACATTATTCACATCTGCTCCTGAGGTGAGAAAAGCAGGAAGAATTAGTGATAAGTGAGGGCTGTTTGCTATCAGACTGCAGATGTGATAGCAAGATTTCTGATTTGCAATCCCTTTTATCTTGTATGAGTGTGTCCAGGCCAGTCTAAAGCAAGCGTTTCCCGCCCTCACTACACCGGGCAAAACGCCAAAGCCATCAGGCAGTCGTACGCCTACCATCAGCTGAGGAGTTGCACAGCAGTCTCATTTCTAATTATACACCCAACAACAGAGAGCTACATGGAGAAAGGGAGAGAGTGTGTGGAATATGGAGAGAGGAAGAGGAGGGTGATTACAAATGGAAGAGAGGCTGAGAGTGCCACTCAGCAGCAAACACAGGGTGAACAAGTTCAGACGTGAAAGAAAGAAAGAAAGAAAGAAAGAAAGAAAAAATAAAGAAAGGAAGAAAGAAAGAAAGAAAGAAAGAAAGAAAGAAAGAAAGAAAGAAAGAAAGAAAGAAAGAAAGAAAAAAAGAAAAAAATAGGGAGACGTCAAATCTGTCTCAGAAAGGTTAACAGGACTGACTGAGTAGAGTGGGAGTGTAAAATGTAAAAGCGAGTAGGAGGGAAGAGAGAGAGGAGGAGAAGAGACAAGAAGAGAAAAGGAGGAGAGTGTCTGATAGACAGTCTGTTGAGCTCGTCTGGATGTTTCTGCTCGTTCTGCTCTTTTCTCCTGCAGCCTTGGAGGACGACACAAGGCAGACAGGTGTGTGAGGACCGTCCGTGTTCATCTCGTGAACATGGATGCACAGAAAAAAGGACGGATGGATGGACGGAGGAACATGTGAGTGTAGTCTCCTACATGAAGCTTCTCTGATATCCAGCTTCTCTCGATTCAGGGTAAAGAGAAATTCTGAATGTGTTGCTGTGTTTTACTCCACTGAAAGAGCCAGTTATGATATATATGTGCATTAGTCAAACTCTGAATGCATGTTTGAGGAACTCTTCTGTCTGTGGGATTCAGCACCAGGGGTTAAATTTAGTTGTGTTGCACTACATAGATAGAAACATCAAGCTGACTGAGTGCTTAGCGTTACCACTGCTGATATGCAAAAAATCCTCAGTGCAGATTATTATCATGATGGCTTCAAACACACTCAGAACCACTGTGTATACATTTCATTTCCATAGATTAACATGCTGTAGTGAACTGTTCACCTCATAAGGTTATTAAGCCTGGCTAACATCACAGTCTAGGCCTGTTTAGGTCATGATCTCATCATACCTGTGTGTCGCTCATTGTGAGTAAGTATCCAAACCTCAATGCCATTTGAATGAATTTAAATTTACACTGTGGGCATTTAGCTGACAGATCTATTTATGTCTCATGGTATAATGGAGAGTGCTCACACAGGAATGTAAGTGTGGGGTGTTGTCTGATCTCACACGCACACGTAATAGAGAAACAGCTCGTATTATCAGAAACATGCCTGTCAGAGAGAGTCAAAGAGGTCCATTCAGCGGCAGCGCTCGGCTATGATGATGACATAATACAGGGCATTAAGATGGGCTTTGCATTGACAGGCTGTAAAAGTCCTGCTCTGCTCTTCACCTCTCTGCATCACTTTGTGTAAATAATATGTCTGCAGAGCCACTGAAGGTAACTGTTGTGTATGCGTGTGGCCACAAGGTACTTATATTTAGCCCCTCTGAGTGAACTGACTCATTGTGCATGCATGTAAGGAGGATGAAGGGGTTTCAGTAGCTTGAGGTGTTGGACATCACTTTAGTCCTACAAGAAAGAGAGAGAAACGCTGCAGCTGTGTGTTTAACATCCTGGACTCGGACACTGAGCACACACGCTTTCCTTTGTTTTCTAGTGGAAAATGACACATGAGTTTTAAAGAGATCATTAACCTCAAAGGAAGTGAATGGACTGATACTATCTAACCACTAACTTTACACCCACCCCCCAACCTTTTACTTTGCCTTGTCCACACTACACTCATTCCTTCATTAACCACACTCTGTGCAGTACTTTGTTACCATAGTAACTTTTTTTTTTTTTCTTTACAAAGGAGTTGGTAGATGTCCATCAAACTAAACCACATCAATATATATTGTTGGTATTGGTGACAAAATTTCTAGCCTGACTGATAAAGTTTTACTCATAATTTCTGTGTCTGTATTAATTAATGATATGGACCAATAACTGGAGCAGTCGGTGGGATCCTTGTTTGGTTTTGGGGTAAGTGTAATGTAGGCCATGTTCATGTGGTTGGGGATGACTTTATTTTGGTAGATTTCAGACATTACTTTGAGAACAGTGGTGAGAGAAGAGGCCAAAATTGTTTATAAGATTCTGCTGGGTAATCTGGGTGATTTATTGTTAGGCATAAAATGGAGATCTTTGGTGAGTTCATGTAGGGAGAGTGGAAGTTCTAGGGTTTTGGATTGGGTTTGAGTTAGTTTGGGTAGGGAGACACCCCTCAGAAAGCTGTCAGCATCTGTGGGTGATTTATTCTGGTCTGAACTTTAGAGATTTGTGTAGTAAGATCTAAAAGAGTCGTTAATCATGGAGGGGTTTTGTGTTATAGTACCAGATGTGTCTCTAATTGAGGTAATGATGAATTTTTCTGTTTGTTGCTTCAGTTGATTTGCTAAAAACTCACCTGTTTTATTCCCAAATTCAAAGTGAAGTTGTTGGAGTTTGAGGAATGTCTGTATCTTCAGTTTTCTTACTCATTATATTGTTTAATTCATGTTTGTTTTTTCGGAGTTCTATTATTACTGAATCGGTGGGGGAATGTGAGGCTAGAAGGTCCAATCTCTTCACCTCTTTTTGTAGATTGCGTTCTTTTTCATTTTCTTCTTTGTTTTTGCGTGAATTGTATGATATTACAATTACTCTCATGACTGCTTTTGCTGTTTCCCATAATGTGCATGCTGATATTGCAGGGGTGTGTTTGATTTCAATGAAAGATGCCCATTGTTGTTTAAAGTAATTGAGGAATTCTCTGTCTTTGAGCAATGAGTTGTTGAAGCGCCATCTAGGGGGAGGCTGAGGTTGGTGTTCTGCTAAGAGGGTAATGCTTATGGGAGCATGGTCAGAGATAAGGATGATATGGATGACTGGATAAGTTACTTTGTGAGTGATATAGTTGTTAGCCAAAAAGAATTGATAGATAGATGTATGTAATATGACATGTAAAATTAGTATTCCTTGTTACTGGGATTAATCATTCTTCAGATATCCATCGGCCCATAATCTGTCATGTACTGTTAGTGGGGATGAGGAGCGGCTTGGTGTGTTGGTGGATGGCGATGATGAGCGGTATGTGTCTGGGTCTTGAATGATGGTTTTGAAATTGAGTTTGAAAACCCTCAATTGGAGGAAGGAGGAGAGGAAAAGGGGGGTATGGGCCTGTGCCAGGCCGCCCTGGCTGTCTGCTGTGTGGGCCCCCGACTGTGGCACTGGGTAGCTGGACTGGGGTCCCCTCACCCGCCTCTCTGGCGTTCTGGTGCCTCTCCCCCAGCCTCACTACATCCACCCTGATTGTCATTATTATATCGTATCACATTATTATTGTACTATATTATTACTATTATGTTGTCTGTATATATACGTGCACACATACATTGCCACCATTACCACTTCATTACTATTATTGTTATATATCATTGTTTGCATTAGCATTAGCATTAGCATTATTATTATTATTATTATTGTGTACAATCAACTTTCATTAGAACATCACACATATACACATACACACAAACAGACAATATATCATTTCATAATACACTTTGTCACTTGTCTATTATGATTCATGGTCACAATGTCTTCTGTGTCACCTTCTGTTTGTCGCCAATATACATATATATAGATTGGTGGTTGGAAAGCCCTCATTTGAAGCTGATGGTGCAGTTATTGTTGAGATGTCTGGGGGATACTTACAGGCAGTGATCTCAGCAGGTGGCACATTCAGAAGGGGGAGGGGGGTGTCTGTCATTTATCACCATATTTTAAAGAGAGAGAGAGAGACAGACGGAGAAAGAGAGAGAGGGTGAGTCAGCCTGACGTGTTGTTTGTGAAGATGTAAAGTTGTTTGTAAAATTGTTTCTTCTTCTTTTCAGATCGTGACAACCTTGGACCTTACTATTTGCAACACTTGCCAAAAGACTAATGGAGTCTGTATCACATGATCACAACACCTCCTCAGCTTCTGCAGGAGGGCACGCAGTGCCAGTGTGAGCGACAGGCAGTGTGAGCCAATGAGCTTCACACCAAACCCGATTCTAGTCCCAGACAGGGACAGCCTTCCACTGAAAAAGAGGGACCAAAGACCGAGCTCACCATCACGGCAGCAGCAGTGTGATGCTGCAACATTCAAGGCGCCTTACCCTTACAAGAGCCACAGCGAGTTTAAGACAAAACACACAGGCCCATTTCAGCCAGTGCCAAGACGGGTTCCTGCACTCTACCAGCCCTGGATTCAGACTCACACATCCACCAGATCCAAGCCTCATGTGCTGTCTGCATTCAGGGAGCACCATGGCTGGGCAGAGTGGAGAGAGTTTAACCCCCTGCACCCTGGATGGGACTTTTCCCACCACTATCAGCACCACAGCCACTTATCTGGCACACCCACAGTTCACCCAGGGCACCCACACCACCCCTCCAGATTCAGCCCTACCTCCTTGGTCTTTGAGGGTTTCCACAGACTGGGTGGAGGCTACGGCTGGGAGCAGCTCAAGACATTAAGGGACACAAACAGGCAGAGCAGTGGCACGAATAAAGGACCATATGTGAGGAGAAGAGACAGGAAAGCTGAGTATTTTCACAGGGTTGCAAAACCAAGTCCTCCATCGTTGAGCACATGCCTACCTCACTCTCCACATGAGGACCAACATGATTTGTTGCACGAATCAACAAATGTTGTCAGCCACCCTGTTTCTGGACGTTCCTTCCCTGGTGATAACTCAAACAGCACATACACCTCCATGAAGGAGGACACAGTCAGATCTTCTGTTCTGGCCTCTACTGAACATGCTTCTTCCTCCTCCTCCTCTTCCTCTCCCAACCGTTTCCCCTGGCTGCTCCCTCACTTCGTGGCCGGCTCTCTGATCGAGCTCAGAGACGGGCGGCTGAGACGAGTGGAGCACCTGCAGACAGAAGACTTCCAGCTGGGATCACAGGCCTGTCCAGACCTGCGTCTGAGCTGCTGCACGGTGCAGAGCATCTCCCCTTCAGCCTCCTCCTCCTCCATCTCACGCCTCCTGATCCTCCTTCACGACCAACAGTCACAGGTAAAGGAAAATTACTCTATAATATACATCATTCACAGCAGACCGTTCACAAGTAGCTGTGAGTCATTTTTCTCCTTAAGCAGCATATCTACCAGATGTTGTGTTCAGGTCATATGGGAATGACTATAAACACAATCTTGAAGATCCATCAGTTATAAATATAACTGGTTGGACTGGATTAGGACACAGTGCACAAATTCTTAAATGTTTTCAATGCCTTTGGTCAGGCTTTTACCGTGACATGTTAAAGAATAAGATGTTTCTATTTTGTACTGTGAATACATCCACTGAAAATACCAAAAACCAACCATGAATTGATCCGACCAACAAGTACTTCTTACATAATCATACATTAATTAGCCACACTTGACTGACTTGTTCCTTTATACAAGCATTCTCACGTACACCTTCCTGGCGCCATTAAGTACTAACACAAAAAACATGTATTAATCCACAGCTGAAAATAGTCCCCAACAAATGCAACATCTACTTCTGTTAGAGTAACATTTGCTAAAAACTACTGGCCAGGAAATTATTGAGTCTTTTTTTTTAAAATGTCTTCAGTGAGAATCAATGGACTTGTGGCTGACTTCCACAGAGGGTGCTAGTCAGAAAGATTGAATTTCTATGGGATTTGTCCACAACAAAAAAATATATTGAGGAATTCCAGCCTCAAGGCCTGTTCATGGTTTTCAGACAGGCGCAGACTGCGGAATTTGGGGGTGTATGCGAACGCAGACCTATTTCACGAATGCGCACAAGACAACATGATGGCGACCTCCTGACAGAAAGAAGCAGCGTTTCCTTCACCTGCTGTATTTGCCTGAGCAACATGAAAAAGTCAAAAAAAAAAAAAGAAAACAGTGTGCAACAGTTTAACAAGAGTAGGACCATGGATGGGAAATAAACAGTATGAGAGTCACAATGCAGACAGTCCACAGACTGTCACAGAAATAACCAGGATCCTTGCTTTTCGTGCCGACACTGAAACCATGAATTGGCCTTTAAGGTATAATGTCTGTACAATTTGCCAATCTGCCAATCATTACACTTCCATATTTTTCTCACTGTAATTGCTATCTGACATGAATTCAGCACAAACAGGTTCTCCAAATCGAAACAACACCACCCCCTAGTGAACAAGTGTATACACTGCATCTCTGTTTCATCCTACTGTACACGTGTGTGTCCCTCCACCAGGAGTTGGTGGATGTCTATGTGGAGTACCCATTCTTTGTGCGTGGGCGGGGCTGGTCCTCCTGCAGCCCTCAGAGGACTGCCCGTCTTTGTGGCCTGCAGTGCCGCCAGCTCTGCGTGGGGGACGTCTGCCTGGCCCTCACACCCGTCCCTGCTCCACAGCCTCCACCGACAGCCGCCCCGGAGCCGAAAACCTCACCCAGGAAGTCAGAGAGAGGGTGTGAGCCCGTAAAGGCATCACACCCGCAGGTTCCCCCAGGGCCACAGTGGCCAGCAGCAGGGCAGAAGAAGGAAGCAGAGGCAGTGCGGAGGAGACACTATTCAGCCCCTGAGCTGAGAGGTTCAGGGACTAATTGCAGTGAGGAGGGTCAGTGGTTTATGGGCAGGGAGCAAGTCAGTCTCTTTTAAGCTCTGCTACATTTAGCCTATATTTGCTGTCTTTCTACCTCCTTCCTGCGCTTGACTGTCTTTTTCTACTTGTACCTAAGGAGTAAAAGCTGAGGAAGAACAATAAGGTTGAGTCTCAGGATCCCCTAGAGGTTATGTTAGCACATACAAATTTGTCAAGGTAAGTCAGGGATCACATGCTGATTATGTGAGCTGAATCAGAGTTAAACTTCACATCTTCTGTGCGCCTGATCTCTGCCAAGTCTCTCATAACACAGAGTTAAACCTTGTTCATGCGAGAGAGAAAGTTTGAGAGAAAGTGGAGAGGTAAAGTGTAAAAACGTCTCACCGCAGGGAGCTGCTTCAGTGACAGGGAATTTGTGAAAGATCTTGTAGGCTCAAATAATATTGTTTTAGATTTGAATCTGAGGGCTCGTATTCTTTCAGAATCAGCTCATGTTCCTTGAAAAGCACATAAAAATAGTCCCTCAGGTGATTCACTGATGATATCGTCTTAAAGTTTGTCTTCTGCCTAATAATATGTAAGGGTTCTTCATGCTAACCAATTATACAGTTTGAGAGGAAATTTCACATTGACAATCAACACCATATTTGATTGTATCAGTAGGATTTAGTTTTACGCTTCTACCTCTATTTTCTATTTACGGTGACAGATAATTGTGTTTTTAACAGTGTGGGCTGTGATGTAAAACGCTTTGATGGAAGCTTTCAGCTACTCAGTGAATGTCACTATGAATGCCTTTATTTGCCACATTATGTAAAGTACGTGCTTTGCTTTTTGTACTAATGTGTATTTTAGTGGGGAGTGGAGACGCTTGTGCTATTCTAGGTACTTTAAAGGCACAATCAGGAGTCAGTGTGCAGCATCATGTGTCAGCACTGTGATGTTACACACACTTTTCGTCACAGGCTGCTGTAAACCTGACAACAGATAAGGTCTTTAACTTGTGAAACGGTTCTCTCACTGTTAAATAAATCTGTTGTGTAAAATTCTGTGCATATTTTTTTTACAAAAAAGTGAAAAAGGTGTAAAAAAACCCCAGGAGGTCCATTTAGCCGCTTTGAATCACATCACACAGTCTTCTTCAGCACATGGAGGAAAATGGAAATGTGACCAAGGACTTATAGATTTTCAAATCTGCTGAGGAAGATAGTGTAATATGATCAAAAGCGTCAGAACAACCACTAAATGAACCTTGTGGAGAGATTGTTTTGACAACTACTGTTGCCAAAGTCTCAACATTAGCTCAATTTTGCTGAGGGTGCTTTGAATGCCACTGTAAAGAATATCACTGAGGCCAAATCAGGTAAAAACACTGATTCTTGTTTGATCATTTTCCATTTATTCAACTACTTATATCTGACAAAATAAAATTACAGCCTCTGTTTGATCACCTGCAGCTCTGCTCCGACTCCAAGAAGGCAGCTGCGGTCGGGGGTGATGGTGCACACCCTGATGGCCACGTCATAAAGATGAATCACTGACATCTTGCAGACTGTATGCCTTTCACAGGCCTAGTGATATATGTCTGCACCAGGAAACCAGGTCCAACAGCCAGAGCTTTCAATCCCACACACTGTTATTAACAGTCTTGGCTGTCATTCTCCACTGAGCTCGTCCACATCAGCAGCAGTGCGCGCGCACACACACACACACACACACACACACACACACACACACACACACACACACACACACACACACACACACACACACACACACACACACACACACACACACACAAGCTGCCAGATGTCTTACACCTGACCTGGTCCAACTGGCCTTCCTAACAACCACTTCAACACCAGTGAGGTTTGCTGCAGAACACTTTTTCTGATCAGGAAGTTCATCCAGCTGTTCCAAAAGACAAGGTGCAGTGGTTCAACAGGAAGGTGGAGATTTAAAGTTTTATGGGCTGTGTAAGGCGTTATCGAATGCACATTTCTACCCAGGCAACATTTTATATTCTCGTGCCTGAAGTCAAAAGAGAATTGAACTGTAGTTATGTGTAGTACATTATATGATCTCTGGAAATGGGGAAAATGGTTGAAACTTTTTTACATTACGTCTTTAGAAATCCATGTTTTGTTTTAGCCTCTGAAGTAACTCCATACTGAGCCCTTTTAGTGCACTTTTTCTCGTCACACTAAAAGGAAACAAAGGAAATCCTTTGTTCGGTCTTTCTCTGTGACCAATAGTTGTGATCGGGCTGCGGTAGTGGTTAATACTGCATGGGCGGCTCAGCTGCCGATCATAAAAACAGTCTCCCAGAATAAAACTTATTCTGTGGCAGGAGCTCCCTTGTGACCAGGCAGTCAATCGTCTTGTCTCTGCTTCCTCCACCTCTGCCTTTTTAAGCCTCCCTCCAGATTTGCAAAACTCATAGGGGGGGGGGGGGGCAAGCGATCAGTGACAGCCGCAGGCCCTGACCACCATGTTACGGTACTTCTTGAGAATGACGTTGGAGCTGTCGTCGAAGTAGAGCACCGAGATGCCATGGAGCTGCGTTGGGGCACAGCAGGGCTTGGGCACCGTCTCCGGGTTGATAAAGTGTACCTGTGGTTAGAAGAGGCATAAATCAGTCCTCACAGAAAGTGGAGGTTGCAGTGAAAGTGCAATTCATTAGGGTCTGTTTGGGACTTACCAGAGTTTGCACAATAGCGTGATTAGTGGCATTCATGTAGGAGTTGAGAGGGAAAGCACATTCCCCTTCACAGTAGTATGCTGCGTACCCCTCTGGTGCTATGATCCAGTCCTGATCAGAATAAAACCACAGGCAAAGGTCAATAAACTGTCACTTCACTGGAAAGGAAATGAAGTTAGGCGAAATTAAATCAGAATTCAATAAAATGAAAATTCTGATTTGTACCTGCCATCCCAAATCTCTGAAACTGACATAGAGCTCATGTTTTTTACATCCCTCTTTAGACATGCCAAGGTTATCTGGAAGTGAATGAGTAGACACAAATGTATTAAAAGCATGTAAAATGTATCATAGCCGTAGAGGTCAAAATCATTATTGTTCTATGATGGTGAGACTTTAAGCGTCCAGACACCTGTTGCAGCCTCCACTGCCTTTAGTGTATCCTGAACAGTCCTCTGAGGTTTGGAGCGATTAGACTGGCGACCTTTGTGGCCATGGGCAGAGCGGATGCTGCGGAAATGCACCTCACTGGCTTTGAAGAAGACAACCATGAAGGGCTGTTTGTCCTGGGGCCCACTCCCCGTCACCAGCCCCGCCAGTCGGGGATTCCTCCTCTGTCCTACAGGGGGAGTCAGGGGAGAGAAAACAACAAACCACTGAATATGACAACAACACACATCTGAGTTTCTACTGAACAATCATTTGTTCATCTTAATGCGACCACAACAACCACAACTGTAACTTAAACTCTAGGAGAGTTTAAGGAGTCTCTAGAGATTTACTCAATATGTGGTGTCGCTTTTAACCACAGGATTCAAAGAGCATTCATCAAAACCATAAATCATTACTTTAGACAAAGACTGTAGTCTTTAGACTGTTGCGGCTTCAATGTATCCCAACCCGTGACTGTATGGCAGCAACTGACCGTGGCTGTCCTCCAAGACCAGGTGCAGTCCAAGGTTCTGCTCGGGGTTGACCAGCCAGAGGTTACTGGTGGTGGTCAGGTCAAAAACCAGCCAGCCCTCCTCTGCAGCCCAAACCTCTCGCTGGTCCAGCAGCAACAGCTCCACTTCACTGGGAAGAGAACAATATACCTTTATTGTTGAGGCAGATGTACATTTCAAGGTATCTGATGAAGTGCTCCCATAAACAGGTGCTTTTCTGGTATAAACTCAAATCTCAGATTCATTGAAGTTTCCTTGAAAGCAAGATTTTCAACCATCTCCGCATGCAGCATCTCTTGTTTTCAAGTTCCTGTGCACTGAATTCAGTCCTTAGTGAAATTAATGGAATCCAATGTCTGTCTGGAAGTTATGAAAACAATCTGAAGACATGTGATCTGCTTAGCAAAATAGGCAGCTGTCATGCAAATTATATAAAATGAGCATGTAATAGGCTAAGAATCCCAAACTACATGTGTGGTCCTGTAATATCTGCAGTGTAGAAAGACAGGATTAGGACAACTTGTTCTATGTTGTTTTGGCTGAATACATCAGCAGATTTGATTTGAAGTGAAACAACAACTCTGAGATTAAAGAACTTTCAGCCTTGTGTTTGAAGGTATTTACATCCACACTGGAAAAACTGTGCAGGAATCATAACCATTTTATACACATTCCTCCAGTTTTCAGACAAAGCAGAAGGAAAAATAATACATTAATGGCAACACAGAAGTTTTATGGCCAAACATTGGGAGTCAGACGCCTGACCTCAGAGTGTGTTTTATTTGCTAAAGACCAGGCTGGAGCCAAAACAAGGAAGAATTGAATATGGCTGCCGTACAGGTTAGAGCATCGCCACGGAAAATACCAGATGTTTTCAAATCTCTGTTGTAGACTTCTGACAGCCATTAACTGCAAAGGAATCAAATGTTAAACATGATCATTTTAGTTACATTTATATTAACTTGCCCACTTATGTGTTCAGTTCTATATAAAAGGTGCTACAATCTCATCATTGTTCATCAGATGTAAATTAAAACTGAGAGGGATTTCCCTCAAGAGCAACAGCCTGAACCATGTATTCCCCCTTTAACAAACGAGCACTTTCTTAACATCCAAGAAGAAGAATCCTACTATGATGTGTCGTCTAAAGGGCAGATTTCACAAACAATAGCTTTGTTTACAGGCTCTCAGGCAGACGTCTGTCTTGTAGTCCTGCTGCCTGCTCGTCTGAATGGAGTGGCCTCTGTGTTTCTGTGAATGACAATGGGGTTGCCCTTAACACCATCGTAAGCCCCACAGTCACGATGAAAGACTTAAATCTGCTGATTCCTTCTGCTCACTGACGTCCCCCGTCAGGCTGAGGCTGGTTGATGTGGTGCAGAGACTCTATAATGTGGCTGGATGGCGGAGCTTTGATTTATGAGGAAGAGGAGGAAGTATAACTATTCTTCAACAGAGGATCTGTCATGTTTCAGATTTTCAGATGTTTTTGAAACAAGAACACAGGGTGAGAGTAATACAGAAACTGGCAGACTGACAGATAAAACAGACCTACAGACAGAAACATGGGGGAATAACCACCTGTGTAACAGAGAGTGAAATGACGTCTTGAGGCTTGAGAGTGTTATTTGTGGTCGGAGCCACGCATTATAAATGCAGGTCTCCCGGGGACTGCACTGTTGTGACTGTGTGAGGGTAAACTTGCTTTGGAGAGAACCACTGTTTCTGTCACTGACACTAATGTCTGTGTAAACAGCCACAGTGCTGACACTAACATCAGCAGAAATAACCTGTGGGGAAATGTAGACAGACGCGACAGATCTGTGTGCACGTACAGCAGCTTAACAACCAGCTTTCACAGAAAAACAGAGTGGCATAATCTGTTTATTTAAACACAGCCGCGCTACTCTTACCATGTCACTAGCATAAGTGGATAATCATATGACACATCCAGCTAACATGAAGACTTGGAAGATCATCTGAAAAATGCTTTAAAGGGTCATTTCACCTAAATTACAAAAACACATCTTCTCACTTAACTACAGTGATATGCAGCCACGAGGAGAGTTTTAATTATTTCATTTTAAGCTGGTTTCAAATGCTCAGGTTTCTGCCACCAACCAAATATAACGGAAAAAAACAGAATTTCATAAGGTTATAGTGACTGAAAAATTACATTTAAACATATCTGAGATGCTAATGCTACGCTAGCAGCTCTGTGAGGCTGTACGTAGGCACAACGGTGCTTTGAGCTAAACATCAGCACACTAACATGCTGCTGTTAAGTAGGTATAATATTTATCATGTTCACCATCTTCATATAGCATGTTAGCATGCTAACATGTGCTGGTTAGCACTCAACAAAAATTACAGCTGAGGCTGATGGGAATGTCATTAGGTCAGGATCAGTATTTGTTTATTTGTCCAATCAAAGTCTTGGACAAATTAAAATGTCAGCTTCATGGTGGTGTTATGGGGAAACTTGAGCCAATAATTGTTGAGATATTTCAGTCTGGACCAAGGGAGTGGACTGTTACCAACAGACTGACATAACCATCCACAGTCACAACACTCGCATGGTTAAAAATTCACCAGCGATGTGTCTTATAAGCAGGATAAGCCACATACCTCTCTGTGAACAGCAGAACTATTTTCTATGAAAGACATAGTCCTAATAAAAAGCACTGACAGTTTGCTCTGTGAATTATCCAGAGTAATGGGGACACTGCTTCTGGAAAGTCATGTTGCTGGTTTTTTGAATGTCATTTTTCAAGGCTGTGAACACCACATACAACGTTTTAATCATCTCCATCATATTCGGGTCGTATCTCACAATCTACTCAAATAAAACCAAAACTATCCGCATTGCTAGATACCATTAGAGATAAGTGAGAAAATATGTTTTCAAAAATTTGGCCAATTTGACTCTAAATGTCCAGAAACACTAGATCAAGGTGACACATATGAAACAAGATCAAGCAAATCAAGGGGGAAATAATAACAGAGGGATGGTAAAACGACTGAGAGCTGAAAATAAAACACCCATACCTATTTGGAGGCTCCTGCAGGACCTGGTAGACGCTGACTCTGAATGTCTCATTCTCGTAGCGTTCCTGGATGAAATCCGTGTAAATCCTGAACTCTGCTGCGGTGACGGCCTCTCCCTCTGGAATACGTGAAAGGTCAAAACGAAATTCCCTTCGGTGCTGCTGGTAGAGAAGATCCTGATCCTGATCAACTACAAGGAGAGGAAAGAGAAGAGGATATAAAGAGCAGATCTGAAGAACAGGTGGTTTTCTGACAGTGACACAGAGGTCAGAGGCTGTAAATCAACGTTTGATTGAGGCCTACTTTTCATCAAATTCTCAAACTGTATTCTACCTAACTGTGATACAAGCATGATTAATGGTTGACTGTTTTCTCCCCACACACACACACACACACACACAGTAAAATAATATCTCTGAGTCTCACAGGGAAAGTTTGTACATGTGTGGAAAAAGCAAACCGCTGAGTACAATCAGATGGTAAACCAGTCAGTGGCTGCAATATCTGTCAAAACTGTCGCCGAGTCAAAGGATTCTCTGATGTGTGTCGCTCTGCCCACATCTCTGAAGCACCGTTAGAAACAGGAAAAATCCGGCCTCCGTGAGGGAAGTGATTGATCTAAACATCACTTAAGTCGAGTCTGCCATACATGCCAATGTGGGGGAGTAAAAACGTACTCAGGGCTGAGTTTGGCTCCCTGTTTAAACTGCACACATGTGCTGACCACAAGAAAAGGCCTGTTAAGGCACTGCCCGGAAAACCACAGCAGCCAGTGTGCTTTTACAAACACACTCACGTAAAGTATAGAGAGCCACACCAATTCATGTGCGACTTAACTACCAGAGCCTGTACCACCCACACGTCCCTGATCATTTTGCCATGTATTACGGTCCAGTGATTTCATTCTGATTGTAGAGGATACGGTGAAGCAGCAGTAGCGGGTGGCACAGTGGGGTTTCCACCCCGCCCTGATCCAGCTGAAGCTCTCAACACTCAGATTTTCCAGAAGAACGCTGGTCAAAAAAGACCCCAAAGCTCCCTGAAGCTTTCCAGTGTCGTGTTTTTACAGTGTTAGTCAATGTGTTTGTCCTTGGAAAGAGCAGAGGAGGTCTCTGTGAAGGTGTGTGCAGAGCAGCGATTAGCCACTTTAAACACATCCTGCCCAGTGGCATACACCCTGACATCATCATGACATCACCCTGCCTTCCTCCTGACGGTCCACCATTGTTTGAGTGTGCAGACACCCATACACACAGTACCCCAACACTAGAAACATAACTTTTTTTTTTCAAAAGCACTCACACACACACACACACACACACACACACACACACACACACACACACACACACTCAAAGTCTTCTAAAAACACTTCTAACGACACAATAACACACACAAGCCATTCGTCGTTAAGAGCGGTGCATTCTGAACCCTGCGAGTCATTTGTTTGACCGCAATTAAATGCTGGGAGGGAACGAGGGGTGTTTTTATGAAAGCAATAATTGCTTGTAAGGACTTGGTGTGTTTACGTTAGAGACCATTAGCTGCAAAGATCAGACCTCAGATATGCAAAGTTCCTTCTGGGAGGCATTTCAACACTTCAGTTTTCTTCTGACACTGCAGGGCCACACAGCCATGGAGCTATCATTAACCTACTGCAGTTTTATAGTAAGTGGGAGCTTTCTTTACAAACAGGTGTGGGTGGTTATAGGATGCATCACGATGTCTGCACAGAAACAATAACAATTGTTTTAAGTTTTTATTATTATTGTGCATTTGTCTATTCATTTGTCATGTGTATGATGTTTAATTTATTCAAGTTTGTGGTAAATATTATTCTGGCCATTCATTGGTAGGCATTGAACGTGTGCATATTTAACACCCTTTAAGCTGGTGCGTGGCAGATTATTAGAACCACCAAAAAGGCTTTTGATGAATAAATTTTGCACCATTTCATAAACCTGCTGCAGAATGCAGAGAAAAGGGGTGAAAGGAATTCCATCAACGGCGGCCGTGCAATTACAACTGGAGTAAAAAAGAAAGCAATTATTTTGCAGACGGATGTACAAATAATGAGAAGGTTAATGAGATTTTCTGGCGGGGCAAAATAAATTCTTCATATGATCTCCTTATGCTACCTACAGATCAGCTTAGCAGGACAAACACATTTCTTCCTGCTCGCTCTCAAAAACACAATACTCCCTCTGTTCTTCGGTGAAACGGTCATTCCTCCAACTGTTTGAGAGCATTTTGCACTCCTTTTTTTTTTTTTTTAATGAAAGCCAGTGACATTTCTGGTCATTAAGCCTTTTCCCATGCTCTGCAGGTGTGCTGTGTTCAATGCAAAAAAAAGCCCATACTGAATGCATGTGTATCCATCTCCAGGCAAAGACTTCAGCAGCGGTAAACAAGGAGGCCGTCGTGAGGAGTAGCAGAGCAGAGAGTGAGAGAGAGCTGCAGAACAGCTACGACTGATAAGACTGACAGCAAGGTCAGGCCTCAGCTGTGCGTTCAATCCCTTTCTGTATAAACAACTGTACAATAGAAACTACAAATGTGCAGTGCAATAGCAGCTGCATTGTGTAATGTTGCATGACAATGAGACTAATGCTTTTTCCTGTGATTCTGGAGCACAACCTGTGGTTTGGCATTCCAACAGCAGTAAACATATGCAGCCGTGTACATGTATGAGCATGTGCACAGTGATGTGATATACAGAGTGTGTGTGTAGACGTTACAATATGACTGCACAACCTCTAAAAACACTATCTAACTAATGATAGAGAGGGGCTGAATACTTCCTTTTAACTTTACTTCTAACGTAATTAATTTAATTTAAAGATGACGTAAATGCGGCTGATTTATTTCAAATAAGCAACTTAAACCACTGTCCACCTGCACTATATACCTGGAGTACACTGGGAGCACTACAGCAACTCTCCCTCACACTGGAAGCTGTGGTCTTTGGAAAGGAAACAATCCAGTTGGGTCTTGAAGCGATCATCCAGGGACCACCAAGATAGATCTACTCCAGCACAATGTGAGAGCATGAACTAAAAACTCTGCCAATCATCAGCACAGGAGGCCGTGGTGGCTTGAGAGAGAAATAATACACACTCGTTGTGTCCTTTTTTTTTTCCTCCTTCCTATTTATAATCAGTCTTCAGATGTGGAACCACATAAATCTGTTATTGGTTTTCAGAAACAATGTTTCCAGATCTCATTAGCGAAACGCTGTCAGTTAGAAGTTCACGACTAAGGACATAAAATCTTATGTGATGCAGTTCAGATTTTTTTATAGTTTCCAAATGTTTAGTATTAACTGCACGTTTATAGGCTGATTGAAAAAATAACTCTGAATGGCTCCTCATTTAAAGGCTTCAGTTCAATCTCAATGGCAAACAAACAGATGGTTAAAGGTTTCTTGGAGACGTATCTGAACAAACTTCCTCTCCTCATGCTGACCTGTAACCCTCATCCAAGCCCTGAGGCAGCAGAGGTCTGTAAAGGAGGCAGGGGTTGGTCTTGGATGTAACCACATCCGGATAAGAGCCACAGGCACCGTGCCATCTGCTTGTTTCACCATAGTGATATCAGAGCTGCGGTAGGATCTCCAAGGGAAACAAAGGCAGGAGTTGCCTTTTATAAATTCAATAATGTCTGAGTGAGCCCAGACTCTCACCTGTGACCCCTGTGATTTACACCCTCCAAACAAACACACAAACAGACGTAGATGCAGGAATGCGTGCACACCTGCGATAACAGAGATTACTGCAGCAATAACATGAGTTTAGATGCAGTTTGTATCTTGATCTCACTCAACTTGTCTCCCACTCCCCAGGGGTTTAGAAATGCCTGTTCAATTCCTAGTCATGCGAAACAAAGCCATGCTAAAGCCTGCCCCCCAGAGCTTTGAAGGGATTCTGGTGAAATCGGATACAGGCATGTTGTCATAACATTTACAGCTCGGAATGCATAATGCTTGATTTCAAGTAAAGAAAGTGACCTAAAAGCCACAATGTCAGAGACACGGAGTCTTTCGCAATGACACACACACTTAATCAATGCACTCTGTTGTCAAGTACCACACAGGCACTACACTGCAACAAAGTACAAAGCATTTAAACCCATGATTCTTTAAGTGATTGAGTCAGATAACAAAGATAAAACTGCCCCTGTACAACAACATATAATGAACTTTGTTTGTTGTTTTGCAGTTTGTCAAGAAATCTATTATAACTACAAAATAACTTTTTAAATGTTACAAATTTCTATGAACCAGTCCCTGTGGTATCAATTTGTGGCCACTGGTGATAATGGAGGAGCAGATTCTGATTTTGACACCCATAGTATCACAGAGTCCTTATATGTCCTTATAGAGGAGTTGTAATAAAAAGTCATAAATTCAAATTTTATAATGCTTCCGAGCCACTACACACACAGTGTGTCTATGTTATCTAATGCAAGTTAGACACAGGATTTAAAAAAAAATTGAAATGACCTCCAAAAGTCAAGTTAACTTACCGAGGTTGACAAAGCTCATCACCATATCTGCGTCATCTAGGAAGCGGCTGTCTTGAGGGGTCACCATGGGGGAGGCCTGGGTCGGTAAAACGGGCTTGTAATAAGAATATCCCTGTGGCCCTGTGTCCGTGGAGATAGTGTTGTACAGGTCCAGCATGAACATCGGGGCAGCGTTGTGTTTGGTGTGGAAGTGCGGCCGCGGACGTTGCGGTAGCCCCAGGATGGAGAGAATCTCCCGCTGCATGTCCCTGCGCTCCTGGCTCCGCAGCCGCCGCTGGATGAAGCTGGAGCGCACCTCGTTGTCCATGGAAAAGTTGGAGAAGGCGACCTGCGTGGACAACACGCAGTAACACCAGGACAAGAGGGTCATTATTGTCGGCAAGGCGCTTGTCACCATTTTTGCCCAAATTTTACGCGCGCCTCCAACAAATCGAAAGATAAGACTGGAGATGTGGTTCTTTTGTTAAAGAGTCCTCCTTCATGTGGGGAAGTAAAACACACTACCCTCTATCAACTCGGAATATCACTCCCTCATCCTCTGCCGTTGCGCACTGTCTCATACTGCCCTGCGCTCTTCTAGATGGCAACTTGGGAATGGATTTTATTGAGGCTGTGTCAGGGGAGGGGCAGGAAGGGTCCAGAATGGGATAAACCAAGACTGGGGAGACTGGGGCAGCGTGTGGGAGTGAGGCAATGAAAAGTAGAGCGAGAATGGATCAGTGTCCTTTCATGAAGTGCATTAATAGGAAGGGTGGGGTCTCCCATCACTCCATCCATTGTTTTTTAAAGGGCTCTTTGGCCATTGATGAGAGTGGGATTAATTAGGTAAGCAAATCTTTTCTCTGGAAATCTGTCTCCTCTGTAAGTCTGGCAGCCAGCTTCTCTCTGTTGTGACCACAGTTCCTCAGTCCTACCATCAAAGGTCATGTGTACTTATTTTCACATCGCATGGTATTTTGCTTATAACAGACCTGCAGTTTAATTTTATTGGCACTGTGCCTCCACACTGTGCACATGGAGATACTTCAACACTAAATGATCAGTCTGAAGGTAAAGAGCGGAAATCCACTAATCCCTTCTTCAACACAGACACCTTTGAACTCAAACAATAAAGTCAAGCCCACCCTAATTGTTGAAGGGAGTGATCAGCAGTAGGAGCCCAGGTACATGAAGGGACATGCCAGCGGCCCCTATGAATTACTACAACAATGGATAAGGTACTCCACTGCGGCTGCTGTAATAGAGAGGTAATGGGGGTGGAGGGCGGGCGATGAATGACAAAGGAAGGATCACACAAGTACAGATACATCTGCTTGTTTGAGGACAGCGGTGACTGGATCAGCACACAAAAATCAAGGGAAGAGGTTAATGTGTCATAGCCACCAAACTGAAATGGCCTTTTACTAGTGTGCTTTTCTGTTTCTCAGCTTCTATTTTCAACTCCTCTCTTTGTATAAAGGGAACCACTGGATAAACAGATTCATTCAAACTAAAATTAACCAACAAAAAGGTAATTCAAAGCTACAGTTGCACCAGAAAAAATGTTTTTCTCAGCAGAAGTCAATTTACATGACTCATCCCTTGAAACCCATATAAACTCAAGAGTCCTCCCTGTCCACTACAAACATTAACATTTGTAAACCTTACTCCCTCTTTAACAGTAACTATTTAAGACTGTAAAACTCAGCTTTGCTCAAGGACTCTTAAGCAGGGTGGATGCATCTCAACATGTCTCCCAACTGACAGTCTTATAATTTAATGTATTGGAGCTACAACCATACTGTGTGTCATATTATTTTAATGCACGTAATGCAACAGATGAATAAGAAGCACTGCAATTGGTTTGTTTTATCCATACATTAGGGCCTGTTTTACTATTAAACTGTGAAACATTGGTATTAATCCTCCGCCAAAACTTTTTATCATATACACAGCTTGTTGATCAACCCGATTTTTATTTTGTATTCAAGCTCCTTTTCAATCAGATTATGTGTCCATGCTGGTCCATGCAGGCAGAATCTAAATTTAAGTAGGCTATAAAAAGGACTACAGGCATGTTATTATGGGTGTTGGAAAGTACATAAGCACATGAATAATTAAGTACAATTTTGAGGTCTTGCAGTTAATGTTGCTTTATACCTCTTCTTTATACATTATGTATAGGCCTACTGCTTCTGCTTCTACATTTCAGGTGGAAATATTACAGTCCACTGTATTTATCTGAAAACTATGTAAAGTAGAATAACTCCATCATCTCAACCAACTGTAGCTGCTTAGCCTCTTGTTAATGCATCTGTAATACTAAAAACATTGAACTGTATGTGCGCTCCACTAGTGAGAGGTACTTGTGGGAGACAGATACGGTAGCCTACTAATGGAGGTGACAGTGGGTTTGTCCAAAGAGACCCATGATAATCGTCTACATTTTTCTCTCAGTGTAGCCTGCTGGGATAAGATGGCAATAGACGAGAGACTGTACTTACCCTGAATGCAGCTTCACACACTCCCCCGCTGCTTTCCACAGAACAGTTAAGTCACTTTTTGTCATGCACTGCCTCCAAGCGTTACTTCATGAAACAGTGTGCTTTTAGCGGGGCTGTTACGTCATCAAACTGCGACGTAGCGTGAAACAAGCGCCACATTTTTCCTGCGCCAAATAGTTTTGGCGTTTTCGGCGTTACCGCTTTAACTACAGCCACAGCCAAAAGCAAATCTGGGGTATGTGTTTTGATGTTGTTATGAGGCGGTGTTACAGATGCTGCGGTGTTTAGATGTAATGTCCAAAAAATGTTGCTGCACGGGGAAGTTGTCCCGGTTGATGGTCTCAGAAACGGTCTTAGCTAACGTTAGCTAGGATTCAATTATCTACATTTTCTGATCCACACAACGATTCAATTATTAGCACGTGAGCTTAGATGTATTTTAGATATAATTCACGGTTGAACTGCCCACACATGCTTACGTTAACACGCGAGCTAACCGCTGGTGTGTAGAGGCTAGCAACGGTAATTAACGGAGTTAGCGTTAACGTTAGCTGCCGAGCTGCGTCCTGTCAAGTGTCAGATGTATTTGTCCACGTTACTCGAGTTAACCTCTGTGATGTCTAAGCTATATTATGAGTGTGAAAATACTTATGTGAGTGCCATGCTAAAGGTCTGGCAGTATCAGTAATATAGTCCAACCTAATGCTGCTACCCAGCGTCACATACAGTGTTTGATTCAACGCCACATCCAGTTTGTTTTTTTTTTGTTTTTTTTATCACCTACTGCATGTTACCTGTGAAAACGATGTGGCTTCTCACAATGTTGATGGATCCAAAAGCTACAGGCAATGTGGTCTATCGTTTGTGAATCACACCGTACCTCTGTCTTGTCTCAGGTGTTCATTAGGAATAACTTTAAAGAACTATGAGCTTATTTGGGACGAGCTCCGGGTTTGGAACAGGAGGGACCGGTGTCTTTGGAAGCACAACAACAGACAGTCATAATCCAATGAAGGTAAGGCGGAGAACTACAGGAGAAAAATATTTGACGTGGTTTCTTATAATTTGTTATGGTGGCTCGCTGAAAACGGTGCCTTCACCTTTTTATCGGACAGCTTTATGTTTCTCCTTTGTTGTTGATGTTCCTAACTTGTCTCACAGGATGTTGAAGTGACTTCACCTCCAGATGACAGTATCAGCTGTCTGGCTTTCAGTCCACCCACCATGCCAGGGAACTTCCTCATTGGGGGATCCTGGGCCAATGATGTGAGTTAGTGTTGCAGTCATAAAATGGTGCTCAGTGAAATCTAGTGTATTTAGTGAAACATAATCAGTTGTTATTTTAATATGGAATTTCAGTGAAGTTGAGAGGCTGAGGGATGCCTTCACCAGGATTCTCTTCTACAAAGGACTACTTATGCACAAAATATGTTTGTAGCATGCTCACAAGTTTACACAGTGTAACTGTTGTATTTTCTGACACAGGTCAGGTGCTGGGAGGTGCAAGACAATGGACAGACTGTCCCTAAAGCCCAGCAAATGCACACAGGTCCAGTGCTGGATGCATGCTGGAGTGATGTAAGTCTCATCCTGCGGAGTAGTCTCATCCATGCAGTAAATGCTGGGTGCTGGGTCATAGAATCATTTATGATGTGCTGTTCTCTTTAACCAGGATGGGAGTAAAGTGTTCACTGCTTCCTGTGACAAGACAGCCAAGATGTGGGATCTTAACAGCAATCAAGCGATGCAGATTGCACAGGTTGGATGAGAGCCCTCAAATCAACTATGTGGTCACAAGAAAGAAGTAGAATCAGTTAAGATCTCTCACCATTTCTCTTCACAGCACGATGGTCCAATCAAAGCAATCCACTGGATAAAAGCCCCTAACTACAGCTGTATCATGACTGGCAGCTGGGACAAAACACTGAAGGTACGGCACATTTTTTGGGGCAGACATTTTTAACAGTTATAATCATTACAGCATTTCCATAACATTCATTCATTCAGTCTTTATTAAGGACACAGCTCATGGGGAGGTTCCATAGCAAGAAAATGACAAAAAAGACAAGGAATATATCATATTTAGAATCACAAGCTAGTGAGAAAGGTGTTTAGATACAAGAACTGTTTTGGGGAGGTACAGAGTGTCTGTTTTTTTTAATTACCAGACTGACTACACTTTTGTTTTCTTGTGGTAATTGAGGCCAGATTAGGAAATTAAACAGCTTTCAGAAAGTCTGACTCATGAAATTCATCAGCACCCAGTCAGTCTGATGTCAGTTAGTCTTTATTCCTTATATGCTTGTGTAGACACTGACACGGGGTTCCCATGGGTCCTTGAAATCCCTTAAAGTTTGTACATTTTAGAAAAAAAAAAAACAAGACCTCATATGTTGTTGAAAATGGACAAATTGACAAGTCATTGAAAGTGCTTGAATTTCAATATTTTGTGCAAAAATAGAAATGAAAGTTTATTTGATTTTTTTGTTTTTACTTAACATTAGTAGACAGGGTTATTATATGGAGTATATAGGGCAGTGTCTCCTGCTGTCTCTCAGCTCTTCAACTTATAAATAAGTCTCTGTCTCTCTTGCTCAACTTACACAATATATTGTTTTGCTGTGCTGTGAAGGAGAAGGCAAGAGACCACATAGAGAGACCATCACTGTAACACAGCACAATTCAGAAGTGTTCACAACATTCAATCTCTTTTCAATTGTTGTCTGTGAGCTTCGGTAAAACCTGCTAGTCCTCATTATAAAAACTCTTAGTGTAGTGTTCTCAGTAATTAACCTTAATCCGTGCCCTCCTCAAACTATGCTGTGTTGGGGCCTTGAATGTGAGGGAATTTGGTGTGGAAAGTCATTGAAAAGAGCTTGAATTTGGTGTGGGTGTGGGAACTCTGCTGCCATATAACCATACATAAGCAATTATTCAGTGATTGACATGTCAAACTTTGCAGTGATTAATGTAGCACTGAGGAAAATGACAGCTTGTCTGTTTTTCTCTTCAGTTCTGGGACACCCGCTCTCCCAATCCCATGATGTCTCTGCAGATGCCAGAGAGATGCTATTGTGCAGATGTTGTAAGTGGTTTTAGGGTTTTATGAAATGTATTTTAATGCTTGCTGATCAGCTGATTGATTAATCAGTTTTTTCTCTTTTTTCACCTTCCTGACCCTGATATGTAGGTTTACCCCATGGCTGTGGTTGCCACAGCCGAGAGAGGCCTGATAGTGTATCAGTTGGAGAACCAGCCCTCGGAATTTCGTAGAATAGACTCTCCTCTCAAACATCAGGTTAATACAACGTGTCATTAACTATTATATTTTCATTGTATCTCTCTATACAGCATGTATAACCAGATTCATTTTCTTTGACAATGAGAATGAAGCCAATTTTAGAAACTATAATGTAATATTTTGAAATATAAACATTTCATTTTTCATACATTGTGGCCTTTTGATCTGATGTACATCTCTGACCTGGTCTTGGCAGCACCGCTGTGTGGCCATATTCAAGGACAAGCAGAATAAGCCCACAGGCTTTGCACTGGGAAGCATTGAGGGCCGAGTGGCCATCCACTATATCAACCCTCCAAACCCGTGAGTGTCTTAAAACAATCAATTTTATACAAGTTCATTTTTAAAGTCTTATCAGTCACTACAGGGGTTTCTTTAGTACATTAAAGTGCAAATATTAACACTTTATTATCACTACAAAATTTAAAAAGACACTGCCCTTACTGTTAAAAGCCAGAGGAAAAACATGACACGTGTGTTTGCTGATGTCTCTTAGAGCCAAAGACAACTTCACCTTCAAGTGCCACAGGTCCAACGGAACCAACACAACCACTCCACAGGACATCTATGCTGTAAGTTCTTGCACCAGTATGTCTTTTTTTTTTTTCAGATCAAAGACAAATTATGCAAGTTTGTGGATTTTATTGCCAAGAGTTTTGATGCAGCTTGCTAAAAATAAACTTTTTCACAGCAGACATTCTCCTTGTCATAGCAGGAAAAACACAGGTAGGACTAATGACCTTAATACTGGATGCCCCTCAACTGGCATAACTGCAACTAAAAGTAATTGAATTAATTTACACATGTGCTTTACCTGCAATGATGTGTCATGTCTGCAGTGAAAAAGTTCAGTTAATAGCGTTTTATTTAGTGCAGTGTTCAGTATCTGAAATCAGTATTAATGTAAAAATTAATAACATTAACATCAATTAATGTAAATAGCTTTTTTAAATACACCTATGTTGCTGTCTCCTTTTAATAATAGCATGATTCCCTCTTGGATATCTGTTGGACTTCTAATGTCAGTCGATTTTCAGCCCTTGTGTATTACCTCACAGATTCATTGATTATAATATAGTCACTATGACCCGTCAACCAGCCTAGTGGTTCTTTTTTCCACGTGTCACCTGCTAATTTCCGTATTCCATCAGGTGAATGCTATCTCCTTCCATCCTGTCCACGGCACACTGGCTACTGTGGGCTCAGACGGGCGCTTTAGCTTCTGGGACAAAGACGCCCGCACCAAGTTGAAGACGTCAGAGCAGCTCGACCAGCCCATTACAGCCTGCTGCTTCAACCACAATGGCAACATCTTTGCGTATGCTTCCAGTTACGACTGGTCGAAGGTAGGAGGTGTAAAATCTTTATAGAAGTTGTGAACAGGTGTTTTTGCTCTACTACTGTAGTTTACAAAGTTCATTCTGGTCTCTACTCATAATTGTGCTCCAAAGTATTCCTGCTTTGTCGTCACTGACTGCCATGCTGTATCACTCAGGGCCATGAGTACTACAACCCCCAGAAAAAGAACTACATCTTCCTGAGGAATGCTGCCGAGGAGCTGAAGCCTCGGAACAAGAAATGGTGAGAGAAGGGCAGCCACTGTCTGTAAACCTGGAGATCACGGTCGCCGGGCAGGGCTGCCCCACTTCCTCTGACCTTTTGACTCGCTCTGGGCCCTTTCAAGGCACCCCTTCGCATGCATGGATTTGGGCAGTGAGGACATGATTCAGATCTCAGTACTGCTACAAGTAGCCGTTGTGTAAAGGATTGGTGCAGCACTGACCTGAGTGAAGTCATTTTGAAGGCTTGTGTGTTCTCTGTGTATACAATGTATACAAGCTGTCTTTGCACTTCTACAGTCAGGATTCTTTGGGAGATGAAGCCTGCTGGCTTTTTACAGTATTTAGTTTGTAAGTAGTAAGGATTTGTAGTGTGTTCAGTGACATAAAAAAGCTATTTATGGATTTATTTAAGTTACTGAGATAACAGTGCAAAGATTAAGGGAATACTGAACACATGCAAGCATTCATTTATAATGACTCAATCATCATTTGTAAGGATTTATTTTTGTCTGCTGAAGAGTGATTTTGTGCTGTTTATTCTGTGCAAAAAGGGACACACTGAGAACCCCCTTTCAGAAATAAACAACAAAAAAAACCTCAGAAAAATGTTCTTTGTGACTGACTGCTCCCTCCTGTCTTTAGATTCGTCGTGCCAAGTTGCATCTCTTGTGAGGAAATGCGGAAGACCTGCTGCTTTAGTGTGTGTATACGCTCGAGACAGACTCCTTCCTTTCGGCAAACACCTGGACCAATGCCATGGTGCTGCGTGTACTGTGCATGGACCAATCAGAGGGGCCTACCCAACCTGGCGTTGATGACAGCTGTGTGACAATTGGTCTTAGAGGTCATCATAGAAGGGGAGGGCTTTATTTGTCATTCATCTTGATGTCTTTTTCTTTTATGAGTTCCAGCTCCTCATTTTTTTTTTACAGCTGTCCAAAGACTTTTCATTCTCATTTGATTTGCTGTTACTCTGTGGTTTAGCTCCATTAATGAAACTGGGATGTAAAATAAATAACAAAGTGCATACTCTTAGATTTGAACATGTTTATTCCAACTTGAGGGAGTAAGTATGCTGTAAAAATGTTTGTTGGGTGTTTACGGAACTGTAATGTGCATGCGAAACCATGACCACTATCTCATATTTCAGCTGTAAATCTCTCCATCATGTGGGTCTCTGACATTGGAATCATCGCAAAATCAAAATGATAAACTTTGAACAGCATCTGTGTCACAATGACCCCTTCTGTCTGCTTGTTTTAATCCAAGTTAACCAGCAGGGTGAGCGTTTTGCCCTTCAGTTACCTGTAGATAAGACCAGGATCTGTGGTCTGAGAGCTAACAGGACAAATGAGATCAAAGCAGGACAATGGGGTTCTTCATCCAGGTTACGTTCTTTTGACAGGGATACACAGCTGGAAATGGGGGGATTTATCAAGAGGATATGAATGAGGTAGCATGGGCAGCTACAAAGGCCATGTGTGAAAAGTGAACCAGTTCATAGAGGAGAAGGTGTTAAATTAAATTTTATTGAGGTCATTAGAGTATCACCTCACTGTTAGCCTGACCCTTGGTACTTAGCAGTGAAACTGCAAGGCACCGAGGGCGGGAAGATAAGCAGCTGCCACAATTCACCGCCTCCTCTCAACTTTCATGGGGTGACACAGGTACCACTCCTCTAGACCAGCGTCTCCTCTGCTGTTCCATTAGTCTGCACCACGTTTCTTTTAACTAACTGGACTGAAAGTCCTCCAGGCTGACTGCACTCATGATTATTTAAAAGAGATTGACTTACTGGTCTACCTATAAGCATGAGGAGAGTCATTTCTACAGTTTCAGCTGTCACTGTTGGACTGACCTGTTGCTCTGAACCCTTGAGTCTGCCCTTCCCTGCACAGAGGTTATCAGTGTTTGTGAGTAGCCAAATGTTGTAAACATAACACACACAGGTTACATTTGCTCCAATTTTTGCAAACTGCAATCATTTGCTTGCATGACAGGGTAATAAAATAAATTAGACTTGCCATATTTGTCATATTAAACTTCCAAAAAGGGGTTTTAAAGGGGTTGGAAGGCTTAGTTGGAAGTTTAAAACCCCTTTTTGGAAGTTTAATATGTAGTTTTAGGTGGTAGTGGTAGTTTTACAATATATGGCATGTTGTACTGTAACACATTATTCCAGACTATGATAGAACATATTGTGAGGGTACACTAGGAAGAACTCAGGAACACTACAATTGTTTGTGTATTCAGTTGAAGCGTGATGTCGACTATCCCGTTTATTTGTAGTTGAACTGAATGATAAAACTTTGTTCCTCAGGCTATATTTGCAAAATCATGGTGAGAAAGAGAAGTGAGAGTAAAATGAGCAAACTTAACCTACCGCTTATTAAATTTCAGAAAGGTGAATTAGGCCAGAAGCCGAGACAATTGCTTCCCCATTAGCGTTTCAATACACCATGTGGCTTTCTGCCGTACAGTACGGCTTTTTCTTTGTGTTGTAAAGGACAAAAGCAGGTGCAGCTCAAGGGCCGGGGGGAGGCGAGCCAATGGGAGAAACCGCTGCCCAAGTTGCAACTCAGCGGCTATTCTGATTGGTCAAGAGTTATTTGTGGGCGCGGCCTTGGTCATGGCATATAAAATCTCCCAGCACATTTCCTCACATCGTTTGAGAAGCAGCCAGTTCGGACTCGAACGGCGGAGGTAACGCAGTGTGAGACGTAGATGTCATCAGGTTGCTGCAACTTTGAGCGAAGGTCACAGCGCGAGAGGAAAAGTCGTGTGTATACTGAGTGTTGTTTTCACTGATGCTGGGACGCTGCTAGGCGCTTAGTTGACTGCTGAGTGAGCCTCCGGTCTTCTCTCCGGCTGACCAATGCTTCTGCATCAGTTCATGAACGGAGCCCTGGAAGTCATGCATCCCACACCGCTTCAGAAAGACACTACCTTTACCAAAATTTTTGTGGGCGGGCTGCCGTACCACACGAACGATGCCTCTCTGAGAAAATACTTCGAGGCTTTTGGGGACATTGACGAGGCTGTGGTGATAACGGACAGACAGACCGGTAAATCCAGAGGATACGGCTTTGTAAGTACAAACAAGTCAGTCCTGCACCATGAGACACACGCTGCTCACATTCACAACTTTTAACATTATTAAATCTCATTACCATTCAGTTATTGGCTTTATTTCCGCCATACAGCTCAGTTCCTGGCGATTGTCATTAAAACATGCTCAAAGTGATCCTCTTCTGCATGACAATCACCTTTGTATGCGCTAATGTTCCCTTATGTCTCCCCATTTTATCTACACGTGTGTATGACTAAGTATAAATACTGGTTATCTGCTGCATGTAATAATTGAGATACATGTCAAAGGAAATCCCCCCACTGAGGCTTAAACGCACAATTGCACATCATCTCTGTTTTTTTCGCCTGACTGGCTGTTATTTTAGCCTAATGAGGATGAGGGATCACACAAGTTGATGGGTAACTAAGAAGATTATATTTCAACATATGTCTGATGTCCACCCCCCTCAACACCCCCCCCAAACCTCCCAATGAAGTCTCCCCCCAGTCACCCCTGAATAGCCCAGACTTATGGCTGAGAGAGAGAGAGAGAGAAAGAGAGAGAGAGTGAGTGTGAGTCAGAGAGAGACTGCATGCACATCTTGCTTGCTTTATATGGTTATTTTGGAGCAGTGGGGAGATTGACCTTGCACACTCTGCCCTCCATTGCCACGGACTGGAGCACTTGGCTGTAGCACATGATTTATATCATATCTTGACTGCTGAGAGAGAAATCCCAAAATCAACAAATGGCTCTCTTTTACCATGTGAATTTATGTAAGATTTCTCTTTGATCTTAATTTTTTTTTAAGTCTGTTGACAGGCCAAGCCACCACAGGCAATGATGTAAAATGATGTAAAAAAACAAAACAAAAAAAAACAGCTTGTTTATGATCTTTGAACTGCCATCTGATCTCAGCACATGGGGAAGAGAGGGGAATTAACTTTATTTGTACATTAATCACAACTTGATCCTTGGCCACTGTTGCTGCAATGAAAAATATCCAAGTCCCTTGTGATGTCTGATTTAAACCATCACTAATAGGTGACTTATCCTGTTCCAGGCAGATAAAGACTGCCATTCCCTCTTTGACACAAAGAACAGAAGCAGCACAAGAAATGCAAATATTTACCAGAACCTTGGAAAGACACATCAGCACTAATGTTCTGTCAGGCCAAAGAAGGAATGGAAAACTGTCATGTCTGCATGTTTACTTCTAAAGGCAGAATTGTAAGACAATTGCTCTTGGTGTTTACCCATCAGCTCTCTAACCCAGAGGAAAGCTGTCCTGTGAGTCTAGCTGGTGTCAAACGGCTGAGCACAGAGGCTGGTGTTTCAGGTTAGACAGGCTCAGGGTAATGTGGGTGCTGCCCAGGACAAGACATGCATACCCGTGGTAGTGAAATAATCAGCACTCTACACTCTGAACACTTTCTGTGTGGCATGAGGCAACCTGCTAATTCTGTTTCCAAGCGTTCCAGTTGGATAGGTACCTGGCAGCAGGAGGGGAGGGAGGTGCCCCAAAGCTGAGCGCACCTTTTTTTTTTTTTTTTTTTTTTTAAACACACTTCAGAGGTAGATTAGTAGAACCCCCCCCCCCCCCCACAGCAAGACTCTTCACAGTGTAAACACAGCCTCGCTCCTTCCTGTGTGTTCACAACACAGGCTCTGGAGTGGGCTTTGTTCCGAATCCTTCCACTATTAAGGAGCCTACTGCTCTTTTAAAAACGTCCTCTTAAACAATGCAAGCCATGGCCTACATTCACTGCTCGGCCCACACGCCGAGGTGACTGAACCCTCCGAGTTGGCAAAACATGGCAATCAAAACAGAAGGACTCGTCTAATGCCAGGAGGGAGAGAGGAGGGGTAGACTAATACCAATCTCCTTAATATTTTGTCCCTAATTGGATAAGCTCCTTGTTGCTCTTCCCAGATCCATATTTCAGCAGCTCTGCCCATGGCTGAGTGGCAGACAAGTGGCTGGCTACTGCTGCTGTGGGCAGTTTTCAAAGCTTATCATTGTGCTTTGTTTGTAGTTTCCTTTCTTCTTCAGAGAAACAGAATCTTAACAGTGGAAAGTCTGTGGGGGGAATTTTATGATAAGACCAACTCGCTGAAATCTGTTTTATGTGTCAAGTGTTTTTGTTTTACCCAAATGTGTGTCCAGCTGGGGACGCCGCGCCGCTGTCTGCTTTGTAATATGAGATGATTTTTTTTTTTTTTTTTTTTTATTGTCTTGTGAGACCTTGTTGTGACTCTGTCTGACTCTGTCGCCAGGTTACGATGACAGACCGAGGAGCAGCCGAGAGAGCCTGCAAGGATCCCAACCCCATCATCGACGGCAGGAAGGCCAACGTCAACCTGGCTTACCTGGGTGCCAAGCCTCGTAGCATACAGACAGGTGAGATGTTAAATCATTGATAAAATCCAGAAAATCATGCTGCTTCCATCCTACTCAACCAATGTTGGCTAGGACTTATCACATCGCTGTCAGGAGAATGTCTCAGCCTGCACAGACATACAAACAAATGCGTAATAAATCACCTCTTTAAGCCCTTTTCAAACTGTTTGTGTTGCTGTGTTGCTTTAGGGATAAAAGACATTGTTTGCTACCATTTAATGTGTGAGTAGTAGCTCACCATTGCATTCAGTAAGGCAATCCATACAGCAGATCCATATATGGAGCAGATTGTGTATTAACATATGAAATAACAATAATTTTCCTAATTAAACACTTGTTTTTACTGCTGTTTCCTGCACATTTGAAACTGTTGTTGCATTATGGGTAGGTTTGAAACGGACTCTTGCCTGTGTCTCTCTATGCCCTCTGTGTATTGTTCTCCGGTCCTCCTCTGTAAATGCAAATGTGTGTGTCTGACAGCCGGCCTCCTATCTTCCAGGCATATCCATCGGAGTGCAGCCCATTCACCCAGCACTCATCCAGAGGCAGTATGGGTAAGTGAGTGGGAGTGGGCGCTTGTTGTGTTCTCTTGTGTTACGCTCTGTGGATCGCCACTTGGCTACTATTTCTTTGACAAACAGGGCCTCTGGAAAGTACATGTCAGTTTCTATGACCACATGCAATTCCACAAGTGGTCTGTTAGCATATTTGAATTTTGTAGAGCCGGGAGATGATTCACATAACTGTGATAATAGAAGAGCATTCCAGAGGTGAATGTGTGACTCCCTTGTTAACTTCTGTCAGAAGCCCTTTGACTCGTGTACCTGCCTGAGTCGGCCGTGTTACTGAGAAGGCTTCCTAGCAGTGGCTGTGTTGTAGAAACAGCCTGGGTAGAGTCGAGGAGCCATGGTCTGCTGAGCAGCTAATGAGCATTTCACGGCAGTAATGACTCTCGTCACCCCCTGCAGCTCTCAGATATCGCGCCTCGAGCTATAGCTCACCACCATTCATATTTTACACACAAAGCCTCAGATCTGTGTGGAAGACTGAAACACCAGTCAACCTTATAAAGCAGTGTGGTGAACATGTTGTGACAAACAGTTCTTACAGCTGTACAAACTAATAAAACAGCAATATTTCTATGTTGAGATATGACTATGACTGAATCGAAAAGTCGATTAATTGGTTTGCCAGTGTAAAGAAAATCGATCAATGACAGCTTTAAAACCATTAATTATTACAGTAATTTATCCATCAAACATTGGCTAGATTTAACTCCCTTCAAGTAAAGATTTTCAGTTTTCATATCGGTGTTATTTGAATATTTTGGGGGTTCAGACAAAACCAGTAATACACCTTGAAGAACTGTGATGTGCAGTTTCACTGTTTTCTGACATCTTTCAAACTATGTGATGAATCGATTACAGTTTTTACCGCAGGAAATTATTGTGTGGAGGTGGTAAACCACCCAAATCCCTGACTCATCTCATCTTATGAGCAGTCTTGTTGGCAAATATCTGCTTGAACAGTAGACACTTCATAATGACATGAAATTTGTGTTGTTGAAACGGCACAACTGAAGGTTAATGTTTCATTTCATAAAAATATATTCTCTTTTAATGAGTTAAGTGGAGTTGGTTTGTTTTAGGCTTTACTCCTGTAAAACAATGCATTAAACCCAGTAAACAGTCAACCTGCAGATGAATATATAATGAAAGTAATCAGTAAATGCAGCCTAATACAGTTTGTGACATCGAAGCATGTGCGCTTCATGGAAATCCCAGGACGGTCCCCAGGGACAAAGACAAAATAAGAACACTTTGGTGGTTTTAGAGGTCGGTGAACTCAAAACTACCCCCTCTGTAAGGTCTCACTGAGTCTGAATGACAAATCTTGGGGTCCACCACTGACATGTCTCATCATGTTCCAAGACCTAAGGAAGACACTGGAAAGTCCCTCCTGTGTCCCTGCTGCTGCTGCTGCCATAGTGAGCATGAATGGTACCTACACCCTGAGAGTTTGAAATGTGGAGCACAGAGCGGCTTTGAGGCATGTGTCTGACAGGTGCTGGATCGTATTACAGCCTTTTACACCCCCCTTAATCTTCCATGACCACCACCCCAGAGACCTAGAGAGGCACACGGAGCACCTGTCCGCCTGCCTCTGAGTTTTTCTGTGTATGGCGGGTGACAGACGCAGGCCTCCCTAAGAAGCCAGGCGTACAAGTGGCTTTTCTTTCAGCCCCACCGCACCCCACCCCCAAAACCTCTTCACAACATATGGTGTGAGGACATGGTCTGCGGTAGGATTTTGAACAGTGCTGGGGTGTTGCATGTCGCGGCGGTGTGCTGGTTTGGACTCACTGCTGTGGATGTGTGTGTATAGCTGTGGTCAGCAGATGCTGTGGAGTGCGAGGGGTCACAGAGGCCAGGAACATTGTTTTGATGGGGAGGGGAGGATTTGTCAGTGTGGCCTGCAGATTCATCTCCCCTCATGTATCTCCTCCTCCGCTCCATGCACAGACATACCACTTTCCCACGTCAAGTAATCCGTTTTTTTTTTTTTTTTTTTTTTTTTTTTTTTTTGAACTTCCCTTTCAGTGTTTCATACTTAAATTTCTCTCATTACAGTGCTGCCACCACCAGCACTTCAGATGGAGACACTGAAAACTGACACCTCTGTGAGACTGGGAGGGAGGAGGTGGGGGTTTAAAGAGGAGATTGAGGGGGGAGGGTATCTGGGGGTGTGTTTTGGGACTAATGCTTAATGAGGCAGTGTGCTCCCTAGGAAACACACCTCTACAGGTGTCAAACAAAACACCTTTTTTTTTTCCCTCCCCTTGCTTTCAAAGAACATTCACAATCCTCTTAAACAAAGTGGGAAGGAGGAATATCAAGTCCTCATACAAGTATTGTAAGGTGTTGTTTGATTCCCCGACCCAGTCCAGCCCCGTCTGTTTTCACACGTCGTGTTGCAGTGAGTCATGCGCTGAAGGTCATTTGTGTTTATCGTGTAGAAATATTTAGCTGCTCCATGTGGTATCGCCCAAGCTTTTCACATCAGCTCATTAAGTGGCCTTCATTAATGATGAATACTCCAGCCTGAATTTTGTATGGTTTACTGGTATCAGATATTTTCTGGTGAGCGTGTCGCTCCAGTGTCTGAAGCCTGCAGAGTGGCACCATGTCAAACACACACCAACTGGCCGTCAGCACAAAACCAGCTGACCTGTGATCTTCTGGTCGTCATCCGCATCCCCCAACCACGGTCCCACAATCCACTTGGCATCTGGCATCTCTGTGGCCAGGGAGCATGTTACTGTCCCTAACTTGCCTTGGTCCCCATCCCGTTTTTTTTTTTTTTTTTTTTTTCCCCCATCTCCATCTCTTTCTGCACACACCAAATATATCACACAGGAGTGCTTTGTCTCTCTTTGACTCCCTGTAGGCTTGCAGTATTTACATTATTTTCTGATCCACTTTACCCACATAAGGTCACTGGATTTTAAACCCAGGTTAAGGCAAAATGCCTGTGGCGACATACTGCCAAGGCCACAGAGAAGGCAGGCTCATTATACATGGCAAGTGAAAGCTCATATGCCCTATGGCATTAATGTATGGTCATCTTTGAAAGCTGTGTGTGAGAGTGAATGCCTCTTTGTAAGCAGCTCAATAGCACTGCGAGGCAAAGTGTAGATTGTGCTCATGGGTGGGGGTTGCCTTCATTTGCTTATGCTTACTCGTTACATGCCACTGTTGTCCTGTTTTATGCCTTCATGGCACTGAATCGCCAGATGTCTCAGTGAGCGTCTGTAACTGTTAGAAACGCACTTGTTTAAAGTTTGATGCAGGTTGTTGAATCACAGGTTTGACTTTTTCCTAATTTCATAGTTGTAGGACATAGAGTTTTCAGTCTAACAGTGAGATTACGCTTTTCTTAGACACATCTTTCTATTGACTCAATAGGATCTTTGTTATTTCTGACAATAATCACTGCCATCCTTATGCCATGGTTGCTCTCTGCTGCCAGTTGACCAGTGCCCCAGCAGAGGATCAGAAGATGCCCACAGTACAGGACTAGTCCCGCGGAGGGGTTTGACAGAAAATGTCTGCCTGCCCCCCCCCCTCCTCCCTCCCTCAGCCGGCCTCTCTCCAAGGTGCCAGTAATGGCTTGAGAGTGCAGTGCGGTGTGCTGTGATGGATTGAAGTGCCTTTTTATCTTTTCCCTCTTGTGTGATATGAAGTGAAGAGGTTATGCTGATTGTGGTGTGACTCTTTCCCTATTATGGCATGGTTTGGGGTTTGCAGTGGTAACTGGTGTGTGGGTGGGTGGGTGGGTGGATGGAAGAAGGGGGAGGGTTCAGGGGACTTGTGTGCGTGTGCGTGTGTGTGTGTGTGTGTTGACATCCCTATCCATGCATGCTTCCATGTTTTGCTGTGTTGACTTCATGCGTGCCTCTCACTGCTGGTCCTCTTCTTCTAATGGACTGAATCTGTGGGCAAAAAAATACTGAAATTTACATACAGTCCATGAAAGGAAGGTTTTTATCAGCACTGAGATGCAGCTGAAGAGCGTAAGTCAGTGTGACATTTGTTGTGACTATCTTGTCTTTGTCTTGGGGTGAGTGTCTGTGGATGTTTTCCCCTAAAAGTGTAGTATCAATGATAAAGCTCTCAAAAACAGTCAGTTACATCACCCTTTATATGGGTGATGTAAAAGCCCCTTCTTCTAGACAGCATCTCAGGAGAGATACTTCAGGTCCTGAATAAAAATAGACTCCTCTAAAGACTTCTTCCCTTCCCTTTCCTCCGTGGATAAAGTGGCAAAGCAAAGAAAGAGGGAGAGACAGTGCTGTCCCCAGACCCCACAGCTCTAATCAGCTACATCAGAGAGCTGGCCCATGAGGCCTGCCAGAGCCTGGCACCCAGCCCCGATGAGCTCCCCTGCCACCGTTACCTCCCCCAGCAAGCATCATCACCTGTGATAGTCGGTGTGAGATTTACACACCAAGTGAGAACTAGGAGACTGCAACTTCTGCACTGCCTTCATGCACATCCCTTTTGTGTGTGTCCGTGTGTGTCCGTGTGTGTGTGTGTCCGTGTGTTTCCGTGTGTTTCCGTGTGTGTGTGTGTGTGTGTGTGTGTGTGTGTGTGTGTGTGTGTGTCTTCAGCGAGTGAAGAGCAGCAGCTGTTAAAACACTCTGATGCCTGAACTTGAAAACCTGCCAGTAACGGCTGACTCTATCATTCAGCTCCCCCCCCCCACTCCTCCCCTCCCATCTACCTCAGGAAGCCCTACCTAACAGGTTTTGTAGGTTTTACTAACTGACACAGACTGAGGGTTGAGTCACCTTCCCCTCCTGACCTCCTCTGTCTCTCGTCTATTTAGTCTTTAATAACAGTGGATCTGTGAGAGAACTCCCGAAGTTCAGAACACCTACAGAGAGTTTATATTCCCAACACACTCACCCTCGGGGAGCAATGTAAACAATGGAAGCCAGGCCTTGGGATTTCTCTGCTCTGTTGCTGCAGCCCCTCTGTCTAACCGCCCCCCTCTGTTTGGTCTTTGTGTCTATGTGCAGGTTGGCCCAGCCGTATGTCTACCCACAAGCCTTTGTGCAGCCCAGCCTGGTGCTGCCCACTCAGGTTTCCACCTCTGTCAGCACCAGCCCCTACCTGGACTACAGCACAGCCTACACCCAATACGCCCAGGCTGCCTTTGACCAGCAGTACCCATATGCCGCATCACCAGCTGGCTTCCTGAGCTACAGCTACGCCACCAGCCCCACAGCCACTGCTGGCCCGGCCCCTGCCGCCACTGCCCCGGCCACCGTCCACCCAACCCTCCCCTCCGCTGCCGGCCCAGCCCCAGCCTTCCTGCACTACGCCCCACAGCAGCACATCCAGCCGGACCGTATGCAGTGAGCCGGAGAGGAAGTGGGGAAGAGAGCGAGTGATAAAGGTGGTGGAGGAGGAGTAAGGAGTTGTGGTCACTGACCTTTGAGCAGAGGATGATGAACACCCTATAGGGTGACCCTGCTGTCGTCAACAGGAGCTTTCAGGAAAAAGGATAGGACAATTGCACTATACGATCAGGATGAGCCATTTGCTCATTGGTTAAGGGGTAAAAGGGGTGGGTGGGTATTTGAGGACTGTCAAGGTTCAGGTTGGGAAGCTAAACAGCATAAAGTATGTGGTCGCTTCCAAGGGCTTCCAGAAGCTGACACTTCATTTTTTATTATTATTATTATTATTATTATTATTATTATTATTATTATCATTGTTGTTGTTGTTTTTTTTTTTATTGTCCTTTATTATTGTATTAATGTCATTGTCATGTTCTGTTTATATGCCATTATTATCAATGTTATCATCGTTTGTGGCTCAATCAGTGGAAGTTATATGTGTCCATGGTACATATTGATGTTTTGAGAGCTGTCTGGGACATGTAACACCTCTTTCCTTCCAACTACATAGTATCTGGGGTGGATATGAAGGGTGCTGCTGCTTTAGGACAACAGGGGACAGTCAGAAATGAGGATGCAAGGGTGGTGATTGGGGAAGCATACAGCCAGCCTCTCAGCATATCTGTGGTCCCATCCTGGTGCTATCCAAGGTGAGGCAGAGCACTGCCTCACGAACAAACCTCCAGCGTTTAGCGCCACCCAGGAGGACGACGAGATTTCACCTCAAGGACAAAACAGAAAGTTTCAGTATGAGACTGTGGGAGCTCCATTGTTTTGAGAGTGTGATGTCAGGACTACACTTTTTTTTTTTTTTATTCTTTTTAATTAAAGAGGCCTTAATAACAAAAGAACTTTTTTTGAATCTCTTGTTTCTTCAAGCGCTCGCCCCGTCGCAGAACCAAGTGCAGAAAGCCCTTTGGAACTGGCCAGACTGTTTTCAGCAGTCAGTCATATTCATTTTGCTTACTTGGGTCTTGATCATTTCAGATGGATGTAGATAATCACATGCAGTATGTGGGCGATGGAGACCAAGAAAGGTAGCTGACACTGAGCTCAAACACCAGTGTATTTTTTTGTTTTTCTTCTCTTCTCACTGAGATTGTCATAAACTGTTGCTCTCAAAAGGACATTCATGTACAGCATTTTAAAATGTTTTCAGTACATTTACAATATTTATATGTAGGTATTTATAAGAGGTACTAAGTTAAAATAGCTTTTTTTTTTTTGGTAACTATGACTATAGTTGTGGCACTGATGTCATTTAATCTGCAGATCCACAGGTGTGGTATTCATTTTGTTTTGTCCTGTCACCATGTCAGTGGATTTGCCCAGGTGCATGGAACTACAGTAGATGCTCATTTGTGCTCATTCATGCTCATCTCCTAGTTTTTTTTTTTGTTTTGTTTTTTTTTTCCCCAATAAAAAAATGTCTTTTACAGTCCCTTCAAAGAAGCCATACCAAAAAAATTAAATAAAGAATTTGTACTTAAAGATGCCTCCTGAGTTGTTCTTTGAAAAAGAGACCACAATCCTGTCACAGACTTCAAAATGCAACCACTTTAGTTATTTGTGTTTACAGTTGTGTTTTCGGTATTGAAGTGCCATTGTGCTCACAGAGTAACTGAAATGCAGAGCCTGCTGTGATGACACTGTGAAAAGCCTGTGGGGTGAGAGGGTTCAGTTAAATGTGTGCGTGTGTGCTTGTTATCAAGGCAGTGTGTGCTGGTAGATCCTGTGCAGGGGGCCCAGACTTTTATCAAGTCACAGCACCACCACCTGCCAGGGGTGCTGGGTGTTCCCTCGGCCAACACACTTGCATTCGTTCTCTCTCTGAGAGGTTTTGGTTAGAAAAAAAATGAAAAGTGGTTTGAAGCCCCATTACCCCGAGCTGCAAGTAACATTTTTTTTTTTTTCACTCTGCCAAACGAGCTCAGCTTGCTCCGTTTCCCGGCAGCGTCTCTACATGTTTGTGCTTACATCAGCTTCTTTAGAAGATGTGTCACTTCTAAATCCCACTTAGACCCAGAGAACAAAACACAGGCAAGGTTGTTAGAACAAAAACACATCCATTATCTTTTTGTTCCTATCCAGGGTGTAATTTATCTACCCGCTCATGATTTACAGCATGGCTTTGAATTCAGTAGATGTCTCTGTGGTGCTTTGTTTTGATGGAAATCCATTCAGACCTTATTTACTCATGACATGCTGCACTTGATTACATGGACATCCTGCCCTTTTACCTATCATTTCATATTCTCATCCCCTATAGCTGTATTTTCAGTGTCCCACGTATATCAAGGGGGTAGAGTGGACAACCACGTTAGCAGCTCTGTGAGGCTGTACTTATCCACAACAGGGCTTCGAGCTAAATGCTAACATCAACATGCTCACAGTGACAATGCTATGCTGAGGTTTAGACGGTATCTATTTTCACCTTATTCACCATCTTAGTTTAGCGTCACCAGTTATCACTAATCACAATTGAAGTTGATGGGAATGCCATTAGTTTAGCAGGTGTTTGGTCATAAATCAAAGTGTTGGACAAACTAAAATTTTGACCTGAAAGTCAAGAGCATTAGTTATTACTATTAAAGTTGGCAGGGACATGAATGTCTTTACCAGACTTCATGGCAATCCATCCATTAGTAATTGACATTTCAGTCTGGACAAATGTCCGGAGAGTCGAAGGTCAACAGACCAACAGAGTTTGGTGTGTCCTCTCAGAAAGGCAAACTCGGCTGGCTGTGTAAAATGAGTCAATCACCTATTTTAACAGGTTTACCCGCTTTTTTAAAAAAACTGCTTATATTTGCTATTTTTGGTGTAAAAAGGATTTCAGTCTCCAAGCCCAAACTGAGACTTGTGGTTTTTCAGACTTTAGGTCGCTCCCTCCAGAGCCACAGAAGATATTATGAGTGAGTGTGATGAGTAAACTGGCTTTGATTTGTAAAATCGAGGGGCTGTCCCTTTGTTAGACTCAAAGTAAAGGTGCTTTGATGTAGTTTAGTTTAGTTTGATGTAGTTTTTAGTTTTTGTATAAAATATGTTAGATAAAACAGCAACATTGTTTTTCAGTGATGACAGCAGAGCTGGAGCTGTGTTTAGGGACGTGACATGGCTTTATAGCAAGCAAATAAAATAAAAAAAAAAACCCTTGATGAAAACCATGCAGTGTGTTCAGACAGACTGTAGGAGATGACAACACAAAGAACGAGTTGCAGTTTTTATATCTGAATCATGTCACAGATTTTTAAACACACTTGCACTCAACAGAATTGATGTCTGTGCTGTTGCCGTGTTTACTGGCTGTTACTGTAGTGAGGCAGCTCTGGTCCCTCTGTTCTCCTCACTTTACCACTGTTTATCTTTCACTATCTCCCTCTTCTCAGTTAGTGATCTCACACACATTTATTTACTCAACTTTTCTGCTTGTCACTTGTGTTGTTTTTTTTTCTCCCCTTAACATCTCTCCCTTTTTTCCTCACTTCAGTGCCCATGGTCCTGTTTCTCCTCACATGCCACTGTTTCTTTCTCCCTCCCTTCTTCCCTGTCTCTAACATCCCTTCGTGTTCTCTCTCTTTTTCTCCTTCTCGCGTTCTCCTTGTGAATCACACCAGAAAGGAGCAGAAACAGAGCTGGGTGTCAGCTTGATGAACGAGGTCAGCGGACCCTGTTGTGCTGAGTCATTATAAGGCCTCTCTCTCTCTCTGTTTCTCTCCCTCTCTCTCTCACTTTCGCACGTACATACAAAGTAGGCTCGGTCAAATCTCACTCCTAGCACACTTCTCACCCTGTTGTACAACTCTGACGTCAAAGAATTCCTCAGAAGTGGCATAAAAACAGTTTCACTTTATCAGACCTCAACCTGACTTTTATTGCAACCATTCAATGACAACTTGTTTTCGTGGACTGAACAGCATGTAGGATAGCTTGAAGTTGGCTTGAGTAAGCATCATGTGAAAATGTATTCTAGGTACATCATCAAGGCTGTGATCAGAAACATAATCCAAATGGTTAGCTTAACGTATAACAAAAAGAGAATATCAGCAAGTTTCTTCTTAATTCTAGGTAATGTAATTGAATACAATGACTATACAGAGACAATAAATAATAATAATAATAATGAAAAGAAAAATTCATACTTTTTCCATATACATATATACTTAACAAACACTGTGCTACTGAACAACATTAGTTATAATTTAAGGCTTAAGTGAAAATGCAACAATACTAAGTAAAGGTTTTGGAGCACAATTTTGTTTGGCTTGCTGTTTTGGCTGGATGCTCGCCGTGTCTAACGTTAGCATTTGTAACAGGATGATTAACTGCATCTAAACAAAGGAGCAAAACCATTTCATTCATCAGCTGAAATGATACATGACATTTGTGAGCACTCAGGGAACCCCCATTTGGAAGTTAATGCTTTATAGAGAATTGTAAATAGCTATTTTATGAGCTCATTATTTTGTCATGGCCTGTGATCATGCATTAATGTTATTTCACGCAAATGTTCCCTTATTAGATGAATCTTTAAACCTGAGCCAAGCGTTTTACGCTTGACTGGCCCTATCTCTAGATCCTCCTGTGTCTGGCATGTCAGAGTTCTGTTCCACATGGGTCTATCTGGGCCTGGGGAGTGTCAGCCAGTGGCATCAGATAGGCCTCAGATTCAAGCTATATTTACCCAGGCGCTCAGAAGAAATGACCAGACCCCAGAAACCCATCACACACTCTCTCCTGTGGCCTTCTTCTGTGCCAATAGCCCATTTAGATAACATGGCCCGGTCTGGGAGACAGTCAGTAGGCAGCTGCAGGGGAAGTGTAAAAGTTGCTGTTAAGACACAAATAACATTGTCAGTGATAGGCTTTAGTTGAAGGGGGGTCAAAAATACCTAGTCAGAAACACTGCCGCAGATAAATGTGTTCATATTTGGTGTATTAACATTGTTTGTGTACTACACTCTGAGCTACCTGTGAAAGTAGGACAAACAGGATTAACTGTAAGCGAGGGGAACAGCAGCTCAGAGCAACAGTCATTAATGATAATAATAGAGTCATTAATACCAAATTTCCATACAGATGGGATATGTATGCAGAGCTCTGCTGTGACTGAAGGTGATACGAGCTTTTGTTGCTACCACACAGTGAGGAATGGCACTATAGATGGTATTGCTTACATTGATGATGTGGTGGTGGTTTAAATTTTACCCAAATTACAGTAAATGGAGAGGAAATGTAGGAGTGAAATAAAACCTCCCAATAGCAACTCCTTTGTTACAATCCTGGACAAAGGGAAAAGAGTAATGAGGAAATATGGATTAAAAGCAGTTCAGCTGGGTGTTAAGCTGCCAATAACTTCTCACAAGCTGAGCAAACTTGATCATTCAGAGTGCCAAGGAATTCAGCCGATACAGCCAGCAAGACACATTGAATTGCAGAATCTGAAAACAACATAGGCTTCTTGTGTCACTTACATAAACATGTCCCTTTGTCCATGTGAAATTGTTGTTTTTGACAGTAAATGTACCACGGTCTAGTCAGGGATGCAGGGGCTATTGATTAAAAAGAACATAGGTGAGTGGAGCAAAGAATCTTGTCCTTACCATTTGATGTGAACATTAGGCACTGTGGCTACAGTTACAGGTTAAAGCTAAATGCTAAAATGCACCGTAACAGTAGCCAAAGTAGTAATATTACATGTGCTAAGAAATGACTGTATATATAGATGGATGACATAACAGCGCTTTAAAAGTGAAGCCAAAATATCTTGATCAACCCCTGGGGGTTTGCTGAAGTATAGCTCATAAGCCCCGCCCCTTCCGTGTTAGCGGCTCCAAGTACATGTCAAATGAATTTTTCCCAAAGATGGTTTCTGTCATTTTAATTAGTTCTTATCATGCTGATATATGTACAAGTAGTTATTTTCTGGTGAATTTGGTCTTAATTATTTATTTGGTGCTATAAATAGGGGGTGGGACATCATGATTGACAGCTGTGATTTACTCATGATTGGCATATGGACGAGACCTTGATACCGCAACTCCACTGGCCGATCACTATAGCGCAGACTCTGGCTCCAAATGACGTCACTGGTGCAAGATGGCAGTGCCTGGAATATTTTGGCTTCATTTTTGAACAGTGGGAGGAAGTGGAGACGCATCGTCCATCTTTATATACAGTAACTGATGGTAACATTAGTTAAAATTAGCCACCATTAGCTACTGGTCATACCAGACCAAGTAAGACTGGAGGCAAATCCCCTGACTACATTGAATTCAGCAAGGATTCATTTCATTTTTATGAATCTAACTTTTCATGAGTAAGAGAATAAATGTGCTATTTCCTCACTAAAAATTTACCAAGAGTCCCATTAACTGCCAAGAGTTTTTCAGGCCATCAAAATAATGCACTTACACAGCTTCTTTCCCATGATTCACTCCCCTACAAAAAAACCAATAAGCCTCTAAAGATAATAATGCACAATAAATAAATATTATACTGAATAGTGTATGTTGTTGGTCCTAACTGATAATACTTTTTTTATACTTCTTTTGTGTTGCGAGGAGCTTGATAATGAAAATGTTACTAGAAAGTAACTTGGAAATTGTACAACCAGAACTGTGGAGTCTGGGCTTGATTAAAACAGAGATATTTGTGGATCAGTTGAGTTCTCAGGGCTGTCGCAGAAGCAAGACTTGCTTATCCAACAGCAGGCCTGCATCCTATCACATGCTCCTACGGCCCTACATGCCACTCTCACACCTCCAGTTCTTTCTAGCACTTCCACTGGGGCTGGTGATAATGAGATGAGCCAGAGGAGATAGTACCACACAGAACTGATATTTATGGTTAACTTTATCAAAGTTAATGGGAGTGAAGAGGGATTAATGAGTTGGCCTGACAGAAAAAGACAGATGCAACAACAGCTGGAACAGGTTGCACTTTGAGTAAAATGAAGTGATCAAGTGTATCTCAATGAACAGTGCATCTATGGATATGTGGGTTGTAGTTCAGTCCCCGTCTTCCTTCCAATCATTCAAGTCTCCAGTTCTGTAATATGATCTGAGTTTTTCTCACTCAAGCAGAGCCTGGGGACGTCCATCCGAGCTGCGCTGTAATCACTAGCTCAGACACCCCCCACCCTCCCCTCACCAACAACCCCCATCCCACCCCCACGTCTCCCAACGGCAAGCAGAGTTGAGGCGCCACAGACGCTTCCAGGCTCACATCCTCCACTCATGTCCATTTCACACCACACCAGTCTGGCAGTGTCGGCATGCACACACAGCAATGATTTCACCCCCACCAAACGTTGAGCAAGCTTCACAGAGAGAGGCTGCTCGTTCTGTGTCATTCTGCATGTGAGCAACTAATGTAGCATGGGTAACACCCTGCAAGGGGTGAGACAGAGCGGTGGACAGAGTGCAAGTAGACAAGAGAGGAGGTGAGTACATGGGTGAAGTGAGGTCAAAGCCTTGTTTATCTTATGGATGCCATGACCAACTCTAAACATTACCACAGAATATGGTAATAAATGCCTTGATCTTTAGCCACCATCTTGTTGACATTTTGTTTGCAGCAAGCGTGTGTGATTGTCATATGTTCATGTGTTCGGCCCAGAAGTGTGTGTGTGTGTGTGTGTGTGTGTGTGTGTGTGTGTGTGTGTGTGCCATATTTCCTTATCTCTAGCCAACATGCTTCTACTAACGAGCGGTGCCTCCACCTCAACCTCAAACCAATCCAACCCGGGGGGGGGGGGGGGGTAAACAATGACAGGATCAGCAAAGAGAGAGAGAGAGAGAGAGAGAAAAGGGAGAGAGAGAAAGAGAGGCCCAGCGGCTGACAACTACTGACAGCTGAGCTTCCTCTCTCAGTGGGACTTTCACAACCACAAATTGACACAATCTCACACACACACACACACACACACACACACACACACACACACACACACACACACACACACACACACAAACACACACACACAGATCAATCCACTTCATCTGTACACAAAGCAACTGAGTGGTCATGCACGAATTATACCCATTTTCTCTCTCATGCAGAGTTTGACATTGACTCTGTCAGACTGTGCAGTGCAATTGTCTGTGTGGAAGAGGGGCTCTTATGTAAGAAGTGCTGATGTTCATTGTGTGAGTCTGTATGTGTGTGCTGTTATTCAGGTTTTCTTTTGCCTTTGGAGCACGATCTCAGCTCAGACAGCCACAATGAAAGCACTTTGTATATGTGTAGGCTACTGTATGTGTGTGTGTCCACAAGTGTGTGGCAACACACACAACACACTGCAGGGGATGGTAAGCAACAGGTGTAAGAGAGGATGTTAAAGCATACAGTGAACCGTTTTTCCTCTGCCTGACTTCTGAACTTTTGCTGTCTCCGCTGGCAAATGAGGACAGCTGTAAAAATGACTTCTTGTTTGCTTCACAGAGCGTAGCAAGTGACCTGCTTCAGCATCACCTCTTGACACACATCTATCTGTGGTCTCTGTTAAAGAGCACATGACCTGTCTATTACCTAGACTGTTATTTAACGAAGGTAGGGGTTAGAAAGCAGCTGCCGGTGTCACACACCACAACTACAGAAAACAGGCCATCACTGATAACAGCACTTCAGACAGACAGCAACAGTGTGTGGGACATGGGGGTAAATCACATTAGTCACTTACATTGATGATGCAGCTGTTTGGATTTTTTCACTCTCAAGAGGGGAAAGGTCTGAGGAAAGAGGTCACCTATACGTTGCTGACTGCAGCCTGATTATGTACAGCTAATAAGGCATTTTCACTTTTGAACAGGAGGCACTATTTCAAATACAGCAAAGAATATTGTTTGCAAAGTTGTTACATTTAGATGCAAATGCAGCATCTGGACAGGGGACGGATCAGTCAAGAGCCAAATCGACATCTCGGAAAATACACTTGTTTGTTGTCTTGCTGACAGATGAGAAGATTCTCTCATATCTGTAAGTGTGAAGCTACAGCTAGCAGCTGATTAGCTTATCTTAGCACAAAGACTAGTCAGGGGAAACTAGCTAGCCTGGCTCCGTCCAATCTCTACAGCTCACAATTAACACCTCACAACTCATTTTTCTAATGCCTACTTTACTTCAAGTTTAAAACAACAAGTTGTGGTTGCACGGTATGTGCCTGACTGTTGATAACGTTAGCTATGTAGCAATAGCAAAACTTACTAATAACTCCTTTAAATTAGCTGCTTTTGTTATTTGTTGTGGTTCTTTAACAAGTGAAAACAAATAAACGGTGTATAACTCTTTCTTATTAACTACATTTATTCTAGTAGTGTTAATATTGGATTGTACTTAGATGTAACTACTAGTGGACAAAGCTTTGCAGTCATGTTACCAACAGTTTGTTGAGACTTGTGTAATTTTTTCTCTAAGTGGGAATTATAGCTGTCAGAAACTTACAATATGACCCTGTGACACCTCTCAGACAGATTTCATACTCTGCTAATTACAGTCTGAATATGACAAACAGCATAATAAGGCTCACAAAACCAAAACTTTATACTTGGATTTTTGTATGGATTAAACAAATGAAATATAGTGGATTTGGAGCCAGATTACCTCTTTCCAGTCTCTGTGCTAAGCTAAGGTGAGCTAACTAGCTGCTAGCTGCTATTCTATTTTTACCACATAGACATGAGAGTGGAATCACAATAATCTAAATTCTTTCCTCACAGCTCTTGGAAATCGAATAAACAAAACATCTAACTATTTTTTTCAGACAGATCCAAGTTTAGAAGATCATAATGACTATATGTTAAGAACATTAGAGTGGTTAGACTGAGTGAGAGCCAAAAAGGGGCATCTTTTGGACAGATATTTTTGGCCATAAATTCATCTATATCTTCATTCCTAATCTCCTGCACCATCTTGAAGGCCTGGAAAAACCCCCCCCCCCCCCCCCCCCCCCCCCCCCCCCCCCCCCCCCCCCCCCCCAGCCCCCTTCACTCATTTCTTCTTGGAGGTTTCCTCAAACCTCTCCTATTTTAGTATGTTCCACCAAACATAATTTGCCCCCTCATGTAAGGAAAAAAACTCACTAAGCTCCCTGTCCTCTCTCTCTCATAAAACAACGTAGTCCTGTGTGTTTGTGTGCGTGTTTCCATGCACCAACAGTTATGTTCCTGATCCTGGAGGGAGTAATAAGCGCTCAGTACAGCAAGGAGGATAGTCCACCCGGATTCACCAGCAGCTCTTTATAAGGACAAGGGGAAAAAGGCCCTGCTGCCTCTATATTTAGATAGACTTTATTGGGCCTCTTGTCTTCGTTTTTCTCCCTTCCCCTCCTCCTGTGCTGCTGCTGTTAGAAATCTCTCACCAAAGCCATGTGGGCGGCCAGCCCTCCTCTCCATCGCAGCGAGGAAGAGTGAGCCTGATAATGATCTGGGTGATAATAACAGAGCAAAGGAAACGAACGAGAAATGGGAAGAGGATGGAGGAAGGATGACAGCGAAGTGGTGGGTGGTGAGAGAAGTGTTTTTTCATTGTGTCTCCTTTGCTCCTCAATGACTATTATCCACAGTGCCGGTGATGTCCTCTCTCTTCCCCACCATCCTCCAGTTAGGAGGAAGTCCTCAGAAAAGGACATGTTATCCATCCAGCCATATGGGGAGGAGACTGGGGATCATCTGATGTCTCAGAATCACAGGCTGGGTCTCTTCCAGTTCCTCCTGCTCAAATTAACCCAATATATATTTAGGCTGAGGTGGTAGACTGTTAATGAAACTATGTGGAAATATGTGCATATACTGTACATCTATACATAGTCCTCTCATAGGTCTCCTCTACATACCTATCTGGCCTTATCTCCAAAGTGAAGCATATTTCTCAATAGCTTTGACCTCTGCTGTCCAAATTTCCAGCCAATGACAAACAGCGCTCTAACATGGCACTCTCTTATCAACCTATCTCTGTGTCTCTTATCTTAGTTATTGCCTAGTGATTCTAACAAAGCATAGTCAAACACTAATGGCACAGTGTCAACACTCAGGAGACTTTGCTACTGAGGCAGAGGTAAAAAAAGAGAAAAATCTTAAGCAAACACGAGGCTAAGAATTGAGTTTCTCAATATTAACAGCACATTATAGTTACTAGTCTTGACACTGAGTGTAACAGCTATCAGACCTCCACTCGTCTTCAGTCCCTGATCCTGATCTCACCAGATGTTATCAGTTATAAATATTTCTCACTTCCTCCAAATACCATGAACATATCCCTCACGTACTTTCCCCAATGTCAGCCTCTTTTTATACAATGAGACCAAGAGTAAACATCCAGTGGTTCTGTCATGCTGTATAAGCACAACTGAATGCTAAAATCAGCATGCTAAAACACTCACAATGATAGTTAGCAGGTATAATGTTCAGCATGTTGAGCAAATCAGT